GCCACCCCTCTCCGAGCATCAGTTTTCTCTAAGAGACAGGACTGGACCACATAGTCTTAGACAAAGAAAGCCAGCTCCAAGCAAGTGAACAAAGAAGGACAGATACAAGGGCAGAGGCAAAAAGTCAGGGAGCCAGAGAGTACCAGCAGGGCCCACTGGGGCCCCTGAGAAGCTGGGAAGTGGAGGAGGGGGCCAGGGCCCCAAAGATAAGGGCGGGGCAAGAATACTGGGAGGAGGAGGAACAAGCAACCCAAGATCCTAGCCAGCGGCCACCAAGCTTGTCTCTCCCTCCTCTCTTCTCTGTCCCCGCCCTTTCCCCCCTCAATAGCTAAATTAAGAAATCAAGATATTCAGAACCAAGTCCTTCACAATAAAAGGATATTATTGAGACAAACAACAAAACTGCAAAGGGTTCTCAGGATTATACATAGCAACCTATCACTTACTGAGTTTGATGGTTGGATCGAAATTTTGTTGATTGTCCTTGTTTGTATAACACACGCTGAAGCATCAGGTCAGCAACTTACACATTGCAGGGAGGAGTTCTTTGTATAATACTTGTACATTTTTGTTATTTTGAGACTATTTCAACAACTTAAACTTTTAAAATGCTAGTCTAGAATTTTCTCTTAAAAATTGCATATATCCTTTGAGTCAGCAATTTAATTTTAAGACTTTGTTGGATAGATATGATTGTTTTCCTCTGTATGTACAATGATACGTATGTATATATATTTATATATCACTTTTATATATCACATATAATTACGTTTATATATCACTTATATATCACAAGATTCTCCTTAATTCAGCATGGCTTAGCAGTCAGTTTAAAAGGTTTAATAGATATTTATGACAAATAAAGCATCTGTGTTCCTGTTGATGGATTTAGGACACTGGGGTGATTCAGTGTCTCAAACTAACTCAGGCCAAAGCAGGAACTCCTAAGAAGATAATACTTCCTCAGATCTCAGTGATGCTTTATCACGACTGTGCTGCTAAGTATGATTATCATCTTGATTTTACACACTTTCATCAGCCTTTTTGGAGAAGGAAATGGCAGCTCACTCCAGTATTCTTGCCTGGAGAATCCCATGGACAAAGGAGCCTGGTGGGCTACAGTCCACGGGGTTGCAAAGAGTCAGACACTACTGAGCAACTAACACACACATATATCACTTTAAACATGTATATGTCAATAATATTAAGTATTATCTGTAATATATTTATGGCAGAAATAGTTTAAATAGCAAAAAACCCAAAGTTAACAGTCCATCAATAGGACAGTAGTAAAATCATGACAGTAAACTCATGGCAGTGGATACTATGCTACCATTAAAAAGAATGAATCGGGTCTATACTAATTGTTGTTGCTCAGTCGCTAAGTCATGTCCGACTCTTTGCAACCCCCATGGACTGCAGCACTCCAGCCTTCCCTGTTCTTCACTATTTCCTTTCATCAAGTTTGCTCAAATTCATGTCTGTTGAATTGATGATGCCATCCAACCATCACATCCTCTTTTGCCCCCTTCTCCTCTTGCCCTCAATCTTGCCCAGCATCAGGGTCTTTTCCAAATAGCAGTTAATATTCACCAAGCATTCACCTCGTGGCAGGTCTGATCCAAGCATGTTGTATATATTGATTCAGAGCAAGCCTGCTGTGCAGATCCTATTGCTATTCCCCAGCGTGTAGAATAGAGAACTGAGCCTCGGGGAGGTTAAGTAACAGCTGGGGTCCCGCTCCTGCAGCTGGTTCCAGAGTCCACATGCCTAACCACACACAGTAATCGGCAAGAGTACACAGACACCACTGCTAATGACTGCTTTGGGGAAATGCGCTTCAGAGGGGTAATAATGCTGAGCTTGACATTTCATTTTATACTGTTTATATTCTTCTTTTTGTTTGTTTGTATTCTTTACCATATATCTTTATCATATATCATCACATGTCAGCTTTTCACATTTTAAAAAACCCACTAATTTAAATAAACAAGCACAAAAGCATAAAAAACATTTAAAGACTATGGAAAAGAGTATGGAAGTTACTTTAAAAAGTAAAAATAGAGCTACCGCATGATCCAACAATCCCACCATTGGGCGTATATCTGGAAAAAATGAAAATTCTAATTCAAAAAGATACATGCACCCCAGTGTTCACAGTAGCAGAGTTCACAATAGCAAAGACTTGGAATCAATGTAAATGTCCATCAACAGATGAATGGATAAAGAAGAAGTGGTATTCCAAAAGTCTACAAACAATGGATGCTGGAGAGGGTGCAGAGAAAAGGGAACCCTCTTAGGCTGTTGGTGGGAATGCAAACTAGTACAGCCACTATGGAGAACAGTGTGGAGATTCCTTAAAACACTGGAAATAGAACTGCCATATGACCCAGCAATCCCACCGCCCAACAAACAAACAAGAAATCAAAGAGAAAAGAGAAACACAAACCCCAACGCACAACGCAGCACAATAGACAAGACACAGAAAAAACAAACAACCCAAATGCCCAATAAAAAAAGAAGAAAGAAGGAAGACATAGAAAAAATACACAATGAAACAGCAATCAAAAAGAAGAAAGAAGAAACAGGAATCAGGACGAAGAAGAAGCAGGAAACCAGAACACAGAATAAAGAAAGAAAGAAACAAAAAAAACAAAAAACTATATTAATGCACATACATGGTATTTAGAAAGATGGTAACGATGACCCTATATGCGAGATAGTGAGAGAGACACAGATGTAAAGAACAGAACTTTGGACTCTGTGGGAGAAGGTAAGGGTGGGATGATTTGAGAGAATAGCATTGAAATATGTATATTGCCGTATGTGAAATAGATCGCCAGTCCAGGTTTGATGCCTGAGACAGGGCGCTCAGGGCCGGTGCACTGGGATGACCCTGAGGAGTGGGATGGGGAGGGAGGTGGGAGGGGGGTTCAGGATGGAGGACACATGTACACCAATGGCTGATTCATGTGAATGTATGTCAAACACCACTACAATATTGTAAAGTAATTAACCTCCAATTAAAATAAATTTACAAAAAAAAAGAAGTGGTAGTATATGCAATGGAATATTACTCAGCCATAAAAAAGAATGAAATATTGCCATGGGCAGCAACATGAATGGACCTAGATATTATCATACCAAGTGAAGTAAATCAGACAGAGACAAATATCATGTGATATCATTTATATGTGGAATCTAAAAGCAGGATACAAATGAACTCATTTTCATAAAACAGAAACAGACTCACAGACATAGAAAACAAAACCCCCCCCGAAGAGGAGAGGAGGAGAGAGATAAAATTAGAAGTTGGTGATTAATATATGCACACTACTTTACATGAAATAATAAACAACAAGGACCTACTGTATAGTGTAATCTTGTAATAAGCTATAATGTAAAGGGAATCTGAAAAAATATATATATGTGTCAATCACTTTGCTGTGAAACTAACACCTGAAACTAACACAATGTTGTAAATCAACTATACCTCAATTTAAAAAAAAAAGATGAAAGATAAAGAAAATTTTTTAACTTTTGCCTTAAGCAATTTACAGTTCTGATAGCAACTTTTAAGGGATCTGTTAATTTTACAAGCAATTATGAAGTTTATGGTAAGGACATGAAAAACATAAGAACTGTTCATAGGGTTTCTGGAAACTCTGGGTTAAGTCTAAGTGCTCCATACTTCTGGGTTCGCACACACAGTGGATGGTGTTTGGCCAGCGCTGCTGCTGCTGGGGGTCAGAAATACCCAAATGCACTTACAGCGCTTCGCACAGCAGACAGCCAACACTAACCAGAGCAGAACTGTGTGGCTTTTGAAAACGCCTTATAAATTATCCAATGTGAGGTCACAGTAATCCTGAAAGGTTTAATTTCCTCTTTTGTAAAATGGAGATATTCTAGTATCCGTTCACCTAATAGCACTGATCATTTACATATTTATTTATGTTGGTATCCCCATTTCACAGATATGGAAAAGTATTCCGGGGGTAAGAATGTACTTCTTGTTTGATCTTCTTTCAGTTAAGTGAGAGGCAGAAGGCGAGCCTGGCTCTGATGCGCCCTAGTCTGGAAGGGAGAGGGAAGGTGGTGATGCCCTTCATGTCCAGGGGATTTGGGAAGGACAAGTGGGCACGGTGGGCTGGAGCTGCTGGAGGTGCTTGCGGCCCTGTGGATTTGAGGTGCTCCTGAGCCACCTGATGCGAAGAACCAACTCATTGGAAAAGACCCTGATGCTGGGAAACATTGAGGGCAGGAGGAGAAGGGGATGACAGAGGATGAGATGGTTGGATGGCATCACCGACTCAATGGACATGAGTTTGAGCAAACTCCAGGAGTTGGTGATGGACAGGGAGGCCTGGCGTGCTGCAGTCCAAGGGATCGCAAAGAGTCGGACACGACTGAGAGACTGAACTGAGCTCCTGGAGACGGAAGCAGCTGCAGGCGCTAGGAGGCGGTTACCCAGCGGCTGCCCTCTGATCGCCCCCCAGGTCATGCTCCAGTCTATTCCTGTCCTGTCTGCGCGCGGATGCTGACTCCCCCGACTTTTCTTGACGGGCGAGGTCTCGGGACCCTCCTCTCGGGGGCGATCCTGGCGCCGGAGCTTCTCCCTCCAAAGTCCCCCTTACCCGCCGGCGTTCCCAGGCGTTAGTCGGCGGCTTTGGGGAAGGCGCCTTCATGAGCCTCCGTGTCCCTTCTGTAAAGCCGGAGTGAATAGCAGAGTAAACTGCAGAGCTGGGATGGGAATTAAGTCAGATAGCAGCCCGCGCTCCAAGGGCGCGAAAGGCCCCCAGGTCCCTCCGCACGAGGGGGCCCCCGCGGCGGCCGCGTTACCGGCCTGACTCCCCAGGTGCGGGCCCGGCCCTGCCCTCCCCGCCGCCGCCGCCTTCCTCCGCCCAGCGGGCGCCCGGACCTCGCCCTCCTGCTGCCCTGCGCCCTGCCCGGCCCGCTCGGACCGCCTGGCCTCAGAGCCCCGAGACCCGACGCCCGGCCCGTCGCCTCGCTATCCCTGGCAGGACCGGAGCGGGCAACCCGGGAGTCCCGGCGGCCAGGGCAGACACCCCTGGGAACGGAGTCGGTGAGTCAGGGAGAACCGGGGCGGTGGGCGGGTCCGCGGTGCTGGCTGCAGCCCCGCCGGTGTGAAAACGCCCCCAGCAGCCTCCCAGGCCTCGATCCCTCCTGACCGACGAGGAGGACGCGCCCAGCCCCCCACCCCCACCGAACCCCAAAGCCAGGCTTCACCTGGAGAGCCTAACCGGAATTCTAGGAGCCCATCTGGGCAAATCGGTTTCCATCAGAAGTCCTGTTGGCGATGGCCCTGCACACCGGGCTGAGCCTGGCGCTCCGGGGAGACTCAGGGGCGCTCAGGGGCCCATGACTCAGACTGTTTGGGGAGCGACTCCTGCCAGATTGAGAGCCCTGGGGCGCCCTGGCAGGGGAGGAGGTGTCCTGGATTTGGGGCCCCTGAAAGCCCCACTTTTATTGGAATTTTGTTTGCTGACAGGCCCCCAGACCAGCCCACAGGGCCGGGGGGAAGGGTCTGCAGGTGAAGGGAGTCAGGTAGTGGCCACCAGCCCCAGGCCCCTGCCCCAGCCAGAAAGTGAGGAACGCATGGACTTGGCCCGCCAGGCTCCTCTGTCCAGGGGGTGCTCCAGGCAGGAATACTGGAGCGGGTTGTGAGCCCTTCTCCGGGGGACCTTCCCGACCCACCAGGGATCGAACACTTGTCTCTGGCGTCTCCCACATCGGCAGGCGGGCTCTTTACCAGAATCGCCACCTGGGAAGCCTGGGCCAGACCTGCTTACAAAGGCCCTCGGGTCACCCAGGCTCAGACACTGCGTCCTGTGCACCTTAACCACACGTTGGGAAGAACCCCACTCCATTGTCAGTTGGGACCTTTACATTTTTATGTGTGTTTTTTTTCCCCTGTCTTAGTTACATATTTCTTTCTGAGAGGCTGGAGTGATAAAGGGGGGTGGCAGGCCCCCACTGGCCCACTAGATGCAAAGGCAGCAATGCCGATGGCCATGAAGCCCAGGGAGACAGTCAGGCTTAAAGTCCATGGTGGTGGAGCAGCGGCGTTGGCACCTGGGTTCAGCCAGTCACGTCCATCTTTTACCATCTAGCCCTCTGTCGGCCACTCCACTAGGCTTCAGCAAGACCCAGCTTTGTCGGACAGAAGCCCCGTGCCTGGGTCTTCAGGGCCTCACGCCTTAGAATCCAAGCACCAATCATAGGTCCCTGCGCTCCCCCTGCGTCCAAACTCTGCACACATTGGTAGGTGCCCCGCAGGAGTGACTGAGGACCGGCCCAGGCACACAGACTAGCAGGCAAGGGGCCCTATTGATTGAGGCATTAGTGACTGAAATGCTAAGGCCGGCTCAGGGGGAGGCTTGGGTGGTGGTGAAGAGGAGCCGGAGCCCCGCGGGCTACACGGAAGGGTGGCTGCGGTGCCCTCAGATGGCAGCGTGGTGATGGCTCATGGGGACCCCCACCCCTGCCATCGGGTCAGCGTTCGGGGGCTGCCTGTCTCATTCTTTGCAGAAGCAATCTCTGGAGGAGGAGGCTCCCCTCCCCTGCACCCACCCTATGATCTCTCCCTCTACTTCCAACATCCTGGCATCTCCCAAGGCTGGAGATGTCTGGAGAAGTCATGGTACAGCTGCGAACGCTGAGACCCGCAGGGGAAGTGGACTGGTCCCTGGTCCAGCGGGGGCCGGCTGGTGCCTGAACCGGTATTGGAGCCCAGCCCCTGACGCCAGGGCATGCTTGTCCCGCAGCATCACCTGGGGCCCCGACCTTGCTCCGGACTCTGTAGCCAAGGATTTCCTGCAAGTGTGGAAGGATGTCTGTGTAGAAACAAGGGTTCCAGCAGCTCCCCAGGGAGTTGAGAGAGCGGCGAGATTGAGCAGGAGGGAGGCAAGCGGCAGGGCCGGAGCTGCTGGGGTGATTTCAGAGCACCTGCAGGGGTGGGCTGCCTCCAGGGTGGAAATGTGCTCATCTTGCAGCTGAGAAAGGTTGGGGGATTGGTCGCGTGTCTGGGAAGCCAGCCCTGCCTGCAGAAGTAACCACACAATCCTGCTCTGAGGCAGCATTTGGGAAACAGCCTCAAAGGGTTAATGCAGAGCCCCCTTGCCCCCAGCTAGCACCTGGACCTTCCCCCAAGAATGTGCCTGTACCTTTCTAGATAAGGGTCACTCACCTGATTCTGAGTCAGAGAGCATTCCTGCCATTGTCAGTAGGCCATTGAAGAGGAACTTGGGCTTGCTGGAAAGTTTATCAGCTCAGGAGGTGACGACTCATTCTTGCCTTTGTTCCCAGGCTCGGGGGGCCCCTCCGACCCAAGTTGTGTGTAGGAAGAACCCCTACCCATATTCCCCCTTAAAGGGGTCAAAATATAAACTCAAATCTTTAACAGATACAGATGAGCCACGGCTGAAATGCAGTGATCTGAGTTCAGGCTATCCACTTTGTAAAACCAGTTCCACTGTCTCTTTCCAACTCATTAACTTCTATGTAACGTTCTCTTTTCTCTATTATAACTTATAAATGACTGGGGAGGGCTAACAGTTTTGAAGATTAACAATGTGATTAAATCTGAGCCCTGGACCAAGCACAAATTGAAAGTGTTTTGTTCAGGAAGCTCATGACTAGGCATTATCTACACCCAAGTGGAACCAGGAGCAGATAGAGCCTGGTGAGTCTGCCCTCCCCAGCACGCACACCCTGGGAGGTTCCCCCGGGCCAGGGCAGGTCAGAACCCTGTCCCCTCTGTGGGTCAGGCATGTCCTCTGCTCCCGTGTTCCCCCCCGACTGTGGTGGTTGGAGGAATACCTGGTAGAGACCAGGGTCTTGGTGAGCAAAGTGGGGAGTGGTGGGAGAGATGACCATGGCTGAAAGGCTGTCCCCTCCATGAATCCAGGGTCCTTACACGTGGCCATACCTGGCAGAATACCTGGCAGGACCTTCTACCACATCCCAAGCACCCCCATCAACGTACCAGCGTGACACAAGCCAGAAGGATACTAACAGCCCCCAATTGCTAATGTCTTCTGGTTTATCCACTTTGGTTGCTGAAATCAAACATATTCTCCATTCAGTTTAAGGTTATTTTCTAAAGATAGTTTTTAAAAAGCTTTAGCAACCTAAATGTCCATCAACAGAGAAATGGATAAAGAAAACGTGGTACATATATACAATGGAATAGTCAGTTCAGTTCAGTCACTCTGTTGTGTCCGACTCATTGTGACCCCATGGACTGCAGCATGCCAGACTTCCCTGTCCATCACCAATTGCTGGAGTTTGCTCAAACTCATATCCATTGAGTCAGTGATGCCATCCAACCGTCTCATCCTCTGTCGTCCCCTTCTTCTCCTGTCTTCAGTCTTTCCCAGCATCAGGGTCTTTTCCAATGAGTCAGTTCTTTGCCTCATGTGGCCAAAGTATTGGAGTCTCAGCTTCAGCGTCAGTCCTTCCAATGAATATTCAGGGTTGATTTTCTTTAGGATTGATTGGTTTGATCTCCTTGCAGTCCAAGGGACTCTCAAGAGTCTTCTCCAACACCACAGTTCAAAAGTATAAGTTCTTTAGCGTTCAGCGTTCTTTATGGTCCAATTCTCACATCCACACATGACTACTGGAAAAAACCACAGTTTTGACTAGATGGACCTTTGTCTATTAAGTAATGGAATCTTACTCTGCCATTAAAGCTAAAATAATGCCATTTGCAGCAACATGGAAGGATCTAGAGATAGTCATACTAAGTGAAGTCTGTCAGAGAAGGAGAAATATGGTTTGACATCCCTTATATGTGGAATCTAAAAAGAAATGATACAAATGAACTTACAAAGCAGAAGCTGACTCAAAGAGAAGGAACTTACCATTGCCTGGGAAAGAGAGGAGGAAGGGATGGATGGGGAGTTTGGGAGGGACATGTGCACGCTGCTATATTTTAAGTGGATAACCAACAAGGACCTGTATTTTACAAGGAACTCTGCTCACTGTTATGTGACAGCCTGGATGGGAGGGGAGTTTGGGGGAGACGGGGTGCATGTATATGTATGACTCGGTCTGCTATTCACCTGAAACTATCACATTGTTTGTTAATTGGCTACACCCTAATGAAAAATAAAAAGTTTAAAAAAAAACTAGCTGGAACCAACTAGGTCCAAGATGGAAAAAAAATAAGCTTTAAACTACCACCTCCGCCTACCCACCATCACTACCACCAACAACAATGAAATAAACTAACAAAAATAATTAAAAGCTTTAAGCTTCTGTACTTCATCAACTCACTGAATGGGAAGGTTGGTCACTGTAATAAAGCCCCGTGTTGGGGACCACAGGCTGCTGACCCCTGGCTGTCCCGGGAACCTGCTTCCCTGGGAAGCATCACCTCCCAGCTGCATGGCATAGCGTCCTATGAATGGGGAGGATCTGAAGTTTCCAGTCACTCTCCTCCCCTCCTCTCCCAGCACCTCCTGCTCACCCAGAGGTTGGACCAGAGCTAAAAACAGGCACCAGAGTAAAAGTTTTCAGATTATGTCTACCCCATGAAGTATCGACAGTCTGCTCTTGGGTTAGCTACATGGGATGCTTGCTTTTCAAGCTCTGTATTACCTCATTCCTGGCTTCATGAAACAGAGCATCATGAACGCATATCAGTTTCCCTGGTGGCTTAGACCATAAAGAATCTGCCTGCAGTGCCTGAGACCTGGGTTTGATCCCTGGGTCGGGAAGATCCCCTGGAGAGGGGAATGACTACACATTCCGGTATTCTTGCCTGGAGAATCCCATGGACAGAGGCGGGCTACAGTCCATGGTGTGTGTGTAGGGGGGTGGTCACAAGCTGTCGGACACAACTGAGAGACGAACACTGTCACTTAACAACTCAGGGTCACTGCTGGAACCTCCGAGTTGGTGCAAAGTCACGAAGCCCTGGTTCCCTTGAAGCACTGTGCCCTGGCCAGCGCTTTCTGTTACAGCTCAGCAGCTTCTGCCTGGCCTCACTCCAGGCAGCAGGCAGCCAGCCTGGGTGTCTTCCCCACCCCATCCCTGGCAGGCACCCCCCTCTCCGGAGGTGACTCCCTGGTCCAGTATCGCCAGTCCCCAGGCTGCGGTTGACTTGGCTGTCTAAGCTGGGAAGCCAAGTGCCATCCTTGTTAGAAAGGAGCATCAGACAGAAGAGACAGGCTTGAGAGGGGCGGGGGGTGAGTCCTCTGGGTGTGGAGCCTCCAGGCAGGGGTTCTGACCCCTAGTGGGTCATTAATCCATGGGCCATCGGCCACTGACCCACTCTTAAGACAGTTAAGCTTGCATGGCAAGAAAAACATACTGGTTTCTTTTTGTTTTATTTTTCTCCCTCACACCTCGCAAGTCAAGTTTCTTGAAATGAAGCCTGAAACTGTGACTTTTCCTTTAGGAGAGGAGACAGAATGCTGACTACTCAGCTGATAGTCACGGCTTTCATCTGCTCTGAAAATAGAATTTCAAATGAATGTTCTTCTTATGACAGAATTTTTTCAATGACAGTAAAAAGCAAAAGTGAATAAACCCCAGTCATCCATCAGATGACTTTTTGTTCCATTTTTTAAAGAAAAACAGAAACTATGTGCTCTGGGGAAGCATCAAGAATCAGTTTGGGTTTAATGTTTTCACATCCAAAAATCTCAATTCAACTGTAAAGGAAACAGTTTGAATGATTCTGACCCATCAGGGCATCCTCTTAACACAACATTCACAGCACAGTGCTTGAGTTTGGAAATACTGAGAGGGTCAGTGCAAAAAAAAAATTAGAAATTATTTTTCACCTATTTTAAGGCATAGTTTGACAGCCACGGGATCTCTGTGGCCACTTTGCTTTTAAGTGGTATCTGAGTGTTACTCCAAAAATGTCACTCTTCATAATTAACCTCTTGCACAGCAAACTGGCTTTCTAGCACAAACACGTTCTAGAGCAAGATCACTTTCCAGGGGGTCAGCGTCAGTGAATGGAGATGCTGCTCAGAATTCAGAAGCAGATTTGAGTCTTTGGTTGGTGCTAAAGGCTTCCCAGGGAGACCAGACAGTCTGGGTCCCTTCTCTGATGTTCCTGAAAAGCAGGTTTCAGTCCTTCATGAAGACTCGCTGAAGTCACACAGAGATTCTTGAACTTTCGGTTCCCATCAAGATCCCGTCACCCAAACAGAATCTGCCTCCCAATCCCGTCCCGCCAGAAAAGAGCTGGACTGGGTGCAGCTACCACGTCCCCAGCCAAGGGACTGCTGTCCACGTGCCACAGACCAGAGAGGTGGGGGTGCAAAAATGTGTCCCCGAGTGCCAGGGGGAGGTCGCCGCCATCACGATGTACGAAATGATGCTCCGTTAGCTGTTAGGAGGTGTGAAGACACGCTCGGGATGGGCGTGCTGGGGGAGGGGGAGACGGGTGGAGGACCCACCGAGGACCCTGTCGGAACGCAGATTCTGAATCAGGAGGGCCGGGGCCTGGGAGTCTGCGTTTCTCACAGGTTCCGGGAGATGCTGCTGGTCCACGGAGCACACGCTGAGTAGCGAGCAAGGTGTAAAGTTCTGCTCCTCTTGGTTTGTGACAGCTGGGTTTTCCTTCCTCTGTCCTCTTGGTGTGAATTGGGATCTGCAGGGTCCAGAAAGGGCACAGTGTCATCTGAATTCTGACTCTGAGCTGTGGGGACTCTACGCATGGGTTTACTTATTTTGACTGTGCGTGTTTCCAGACACACGTTTGCCTGACCCAGGTTCCAGCTCCCGGGAAATCGGTGTTTTTCGCATTGCCTCTTCCTCTGTGACTCGGCCGGCACCCGCATGGGCCTCCTGGGCTGACTGCTGGGCCCTGTGTCACTCCAGGTGTGACCCTGACGAGCAGCCGCGATGGGGAAGACACTGGATCTTTCCAAGCTCACGGATGAAGAGGCCAAGCATGTCTGGGAGGTGGTTCAACGGGACTTCGACCTTCGAAGGAAAGAAGAGGAAAGGCTAGAGTAAGTGTGTGTGGCGGGACCCTTGCAGCGTGGCCCTAGTATCTCTGGAGGGGCTGGCCCCTTGGGGGTCTCTGGGTGGGCAGATGGCAGTAACTTGGTGGAGGACACTGGATGAAAGTCACATGCTTTCTGACCTCAGTTCCCCCTTAATTAAAACAAGGAGCTCTGACTTCCTTCCTGATGGTCAGACATTCCCCGAATAGTTTTATTTCAACTTGATCCAGCGCCAGGGTGACAGTCTCTCCTAATGCTAAGACCACAGCCTTGCACAAATAAAGGTGATGAAGAGGGAAAGTCTCGATGCTGATCTGCAACACCCAGAAGCTGGGATCAAGGGCTTTCAGAACAAAGGCGGAATTTCACCTCTTCCCAGCAGAGTGGGGGGCACCCCCCCCCAGAGCCATCTTGCAGGTCTCTCCTGTGGGCTGAGCTAAAGCCCTTTGGCGTTATTTGTTCTTCTGCTTTGCATCTTCCTCTGCCAAACCTCCAAGGCTTAGCTGTCTCCTGGGCTCCCTTGTTGCCTCGGGGTATTTTGTGGGTTGGCAGGCCTATTGCAAACGAGACGTTAAGTGAAGACTCAAGACGGGTAGGAAGTGGCCAAGAGAAAGGCCTGAAAGTGTCCTGTCGGTGGAGGGCAGAGAGGAGGTCAGAGCTGGGGTGGCATGCAGGCAATCACGGGGCCAAAGACCCAAGCAGGACGTGGACTGGCTGTTCTCTGCGTGGCGGCAGGCCTTTAGGCAAGGGAGTAGCAAGACCCAGATTCTGCTCTGCCGCCGGCAGGCTCCTGAGAAGCAGTCAGGGGGAGCCAGCAAGTTTGCCTAAGGGCTGGTCGTGGGGTCATGATTTTAGGGGAGTGGGCGTGGAGGTCATGGCGGACTCCAGAGTCAGGACCTGAGTAACTGTGGGTGTGGAGGGGTCCCCACCTCACCGGGGAAGCTGAGGGCAGAGCAGGTGCAGAGGGAACCAGGACACAGATCTGTGGACCCTGGGCGGCCCGTTAGACACGAGGGGGACAGGGCGGCCCCACACACCCTGGCCGGGAGCCCAGCGAGACAGGCCTGTGGGCGTGTCCACCTGCAGAGGCCGCCGCTGCTGTAATCACACCAAACCCTGCGGCCTAAAGCAAGCACACAACTCTCTCCTGGGCCTGGAGCTCGGGAGTCAAGGTGTTGACAAGCTGCCAAGTGAAGCAAGTTCAGAGAAGCCCAGCACCCCCTGGTGATGGCGGGGAGGGGTCCAGAGCAGCACCAGGGGACTTCTTGCTGCCTCTCTGCAGCTGTCCTCCCCTCTGCCTGTCCTGGGCTGCAAGACAGCCCCTGGGTTTTCATTACGAAGCAGCTTTCACCCCGCTGGTGTTGGAGTCCTGACTCCCATCAGTTGCCGTGACCCCAGGACCAGGGCCCAGAGCCGGCCTTGGGCGTCATCCTGGTGCTGGCTGGGGCAGGCGCCCACCTTGCCTCCTGTCTCCTCTCTTTGCCTCAACCTGGAGGCTGTGCCTGGGCCAGGGCCACAAGCTCTTAGTGACAGAGGCCGCCTGGTCTTTCCTGTCTGGGGATCACAGCCTCTCCAGGCAGCCCAGCTATTGTCAGTCTTGTTTTTTAACAGCAGCTCAGACCCTCCCATTCCATGCCTTTATAGAAGCACAGATTGATCGGGGGGAGGGGATCACAGCTCTTCAGGGAGAACTTTGAGGGCGTCAGCCCCTCCCTGTGTCCAGGCAGAGCCCCGGTAGTTTTGTAGAAATTCCTGTTTCTTGCCTACAGGGAGCACCACACCCTTCTGACCCTCCTCACCCTTACTTTCCATATTTCTTGTAGTTATTTCATGTTGCAAAGAGGAGACTGCCCCCCGTAGCCTCCAGCTACTGCTGGAAAGGAAGTCTCCAAAGGATCCCGCTGGTGACACACACTCTCCTGGGGGGCCCTGGGATCAGGTCAGGTCCCTGGTCAGTCATTAAAGTCAGGGTGACAGCCTCGTTCAGAAGTCCCTGAAGCCTTCTGCTCAGGAGTTAGTGTCTTCTCGGCCAGACATGTGACGATTAGGGGTGAGCTTGTTAGATACGACAGCGCAGGACGTGGTCCCTGGGAGTGTCCGCGTGCGGAGAGGCGGTGGTTGGGAGAATCCAGGCCAGGGTCAGGGCGAGGGTGCTGGCGCCCCGGACGTGCTCCTGTGTTAGCGCCTACTGTGTGCACCGCCGCCGGTGATACGTTTGGAAGAGCTAAGCCACGGGGCCGGGTGAAGGGCGCCTGTGGAAACACCGAGGTGCTCGTCTCTTGCCAGATGTCCTTGGTTATCCAAGCAGCAAGAGCTGAAGCCGCCTCTGCCTGTGACAAGCCTTTTCCCCATGTCCCCCTGACCCCCGGGAGCAGGACTCAGGCCTGTGGTCGTGCGGCTCCGTGAGGCCAGAGCCCATGGGCTCACGTTCCACTCCAGCGGGGCTGAGACTTAGGAAAGGCACAGCTCAGAGTGAAGACTGGTGTTTGGACAGTGACGTTGCTTCTGCAGAGTGCGTTGACTAAAATACCAGCAGTCTGTTATGAAACTGAAGACGGTTTAAAAACCATAAGCCTCCTTCTTCCTGGCCTCGTCTCAACGTTAATCTCTGCATTTAACCAATTTCAGTGTTAACCATCCATCTCCTGCAACCACACTGTCCCAGTCTCTGTGGCACACTGGGGTTTCTGCATGGTCCCTTGGGGTCCTCATGGACGCTCCCGGTTCCTGGGTCTCTAATCTCTGAATCAACAGCAGCCTGAGAGGCACTGGCCCTCAGCTGAGCACTGAGTGGGTGCCTGTAACAAACTCAGCAGTCAGGGGTTGCTCGGATGAGCAGGGTTTTTTTAATTGTTATTGAAATATAGTTGACTTACTAGGCTGTGTTAGTTTCAGATGGACAGCAATCAGATGAGTTTCTGATGTCTTTGATACGCTCCAAAAGAGAAGCCAAATGGATGGGCCAGCTCAAAATCTTACCAAGGTCATTGAGACAACAAAGTCAATAGAGGGGAAAAAACTGCGAAACCAAGAACCAAATACATTCATTACTTGCAAAGCACTTTCCCATCCTGAATACACATCAGATGGACACAGTGTGTGCGCTCAAGGTTGGTTCACCGGCAACAAGGTCGATTCACCAAATACACCAACTAGGAAACCATCAAACAAAAACGCGTTTCATTTTGTGTTTACAAAGTGAACAGAAGTGTGTGTTAGATGGGTTGCTGTTCAGTTTTTCTCCCCAGGTGGAAGCATCCCCCTGTGAGGGATACTGGGGCGGGGCCTGGGCGAAGGTTCCAGCACCCTCTCGCATGTGGTAGGACCAGCACTACTTTGACCTCTCCTATCAAAGTGAGTGACCAGTGAGCTGGCCCAGGCCCTGACCCTAATGCCCAATGCCCGGTAGACCGTCCCCACGACATGAAAGCCTCTGACCCCTTGGCCAGGCCTGACCTCCTGCCGTTTGTGGAGGACACTTGCAGCCCCGTGGGGAAGACGGATGCCAGCCAGTGTTGAAGGTCTGTATCCGCTGTGAGCCTCCTAACGAGATGTCCTGCATAGAACATTTGCTCCAGGGACCACCAGGCCTGCTGGTAGGCCTCTCGGACAGCTCTCCTCCAAACTGACCAGGAGGATGTCCCTGGGAGGCTAGCTCCTAAGTGACGGAGGCCTTGTGGAGCTTCCAAACAGCTTTCCTTGCAGACTGTTTTGGGAATTTAAGGAGGAAGGGGGAGGCCGTAGAGCCTCTGAGTTAGCCCCAGGCAGATATGGTCTCTCCCTGAAGTTGTTTGTGTGACCGGCGACTGGGGAGCGGGGTATCTCCTGCACAGAGTGTGACGTTATTCTTGGCTTCCCCGCAGAACACAGTGCGGCACTCCAGAGGATCCCCAACTCCAAAATGCACGGAAGTTGTTAGGCAGCTCATCAAACCTGCACTCCCCTCCAAGACCCCGGGCCTTGGAATGAGCTTGCCTGCTTCCTCACAGAAGGCTCAAGGCTGCCAGGCGTCGCCTCCCCCATCCCTGCACTTACCGTGTTCACATCCACCCTGTCTTCCCTCTCGGGTCCTCGCCGGCACTCTGAACCTTTCCTCTGCTCCCGGCTCCTGGAGCTGCCTCAGTTACTCCCGTTCTGTCCTCTGGCTTCTGCTTGGAACGTCAGTAGGGTCTAGCACCACATTGAAACAAACAAAACTAAAGCAAGAACAAAGAAACCAAAACCACAGAAAGCCTTTCCTTTGGCCCTAACGCCCTGCTAAATGCTGGCACATCTTGCTTCCTTAATTTCAAATGATCCAAGCGCTGCACAGCCTTACATCTGCCTCATGTTCCACTGGTCTGTCTTGGCAGCTACCCCTCGGGGCCCAATCGAAGCCCCTTCTCAGCCCCTAGTCTTCCCTGACCTTGGGCCCTGCCTTCCTCACCAATCCTGGGTCTGTACTGGGTGTTCCTTTCCCCACACCTTCCTGGCTTTTCTCTGTGCTTACTTTGAAGGCGCCTCTTCTTCCTTCTGGTGCGCTAAAGGAATAAGTTGCCTAAGACATGTCTTCTCAAAGTCCATGAAAGCACCTGGACCCCGTCAGATCTTTCATCTTTCGAATACCCAAAGGACAAAGAATTCCTAAGCTATTTAAACTGCTTCAGACCAGGAAAGAAATGGTCCTTAGGCTCACTCTGATACCCTATATTAACAAAGATAAAGGAGGAAAAACACAGCTCAGTTAAATCACCATTTTAATATGCCTATGGCTGTAATGGAAGTCACTAGCCACGTATATCTATTTAAATTAATTGAATGCAACTTAAAAATCAGTTCTTCTGTCTCATTAGTCGTATGTCAAGTTTTCAATAGCCATACTCATGGGTAGTGGCTGCCTACACTGGACCGACAAATATAGAACGTTTCCATCATCGCTGAAATTGTACTGGACATCACAGGCTAAGGAGACAAAACTTATGCTTATCTCAGTACTGTGGAAGAATGTTTGGTAGCACACTATTTTTGATGATTTTTTTAAGTAATAAAATTGAAATTAAAGGATACTTTTTTAACATCCAGAAAAGTTCGATCATTGGAGTGATCGAAGGTGGAGACGTGACGGAGGAGAGGCTGAGGTCGGCTCGAGAAACAGCCAAGCGGCCTGTTGGCGGCTTCCTTCTGGATGGCTTTCAGGGGAACCCAGCGACCCTGGAGACTAGACTTCACTTGCTGTCCTTAGTTACTGCAGAGCTGCCGGAGGACAAACCAAGGCTCATCTGTGGTGTTAGTTGGCCAGATGAGGTGCTCGAGTGTATTGAAATAATCCTCTTTGAGTGGATTATTTGAGAGTTTTTTCCCTTATCAAGTGACAGAGCGGGGATGCGCCCTGACTTTCAGCTTTGATTACCAGCCGAATCCTGAAGAGACATTATTACAACAAGATGGAACACAGGAAGAAATAAAATATGTGGATCAAACAAAGAAAAGTAAAACAACCAGTTGCAACCAAGGAATGACATCATTTGAAATTAATCTGAAGGAAAAAAAGTACCAGGAGGACTTCAGTCCTCTCGTGAGAGGGTGTTCCTGTTATTGCTGTAAGAACCACACTCGTGCGTATGTCCACCATCTGCTGGTGACCAACGAGCTGTTGGCTGGTGTCCTGCTCATGATGCACAACTTTGAACACTACTTTGGGTTTTTCCACTCCATCCGGGAAGCACTGAAAAGTGACAGACTGGCTCAGTTGAAAGAGCTCATCCGCCAGCAAGCCTCCTGAGACGTGGCACCCAGTCTGACTCTTCACGTCGAGCCTGCACCACAGTTGTGATGTGGGAAGAAGAGAGCCAGAAGTGATCGTAACTTTAAACTTTAATCGCTTATATTTGAGAATGAAGTCTGCTTAAAGCAGGAACATCTGTACTGAGCTCTGCCCACATGAGACTAAAGAGACTTCTTACAACTGAAATGACCTAGATTGATCAGAAGAACCTGAAACATGACCTTTCATATTTCTACACTCTTTTAGTCAATTGAGATTTGTTTAGTCAAAGATAAGCTTTAGATATAAGAGGACAGCCTTGAAGTGGGGATGATGAAAATCTGAGGGTTCACTAAATTGGATTGGAACTTGAAGGGAGATGATTGGTCGTAAGTCGTATGACCTCTGTGGATATGTGCCTGCTGACCAAGAGGAATCTAGCTGATTCAAGAGTTTTCTTCATTTTAATCCTAATATTCTCAGGGGCCTCTTTTGGGTTCTTCTGCCTCCCACGCTGTCCTGGCAGTGCAGTCAACCAGAAATGACTCTTGTGACTTCACCAGGCTCACATCTCCATGGAATGTGGAGCTCTCACGTTGCTCCAATGACCAGTTGACACAGGGCACACTCTTCGTTTGACCACATGGTCTTTCTGTGGCTTGCCTCCCTAAAGTCACCACAGTTGCCTATGTGGAGCTGAAAGTGCATTGCAGCTTTCATCTGGTCATACAGGTCCACTGTGGTCTGCCTTTCAGGCTCATTCATAGTCGAGCCACTTAATAACTGAAGTTCCATCACTTGGGGAGATTCAGTCACCGTGTGTTCACTTGGATGGAGCCCTGGCCTGGCTGTTAGGGGATTGGGTTTAAGTTACTCAGCTGTAACACTTGGGCATATATCACTTAACCTCCCCATTCCTGTTTCCTTCTGAATAATGGGGACAGGCATTGTGAAGAGTACTAGATGAATGTCTAAGATTCCATCCAGCTCTTAATATTTGGGGAACAAGAAGTTTTAGATTAGAACCATAGCTTTACATGTATCCTTGTTTATTGATCACTGTTGGCTTGATTTAAAATACAGTGGTATCAGGAGTTAGGTAACAGTAGAGAGCCTAAAAAGAGGTTTGGCCCATGGATTTTATTTATTTATTTATTTTTTCCCATTTATTTTTATTAGTTGGAGGCTAATTACTTTACAACATTGCAGTGGTTTTTGTCATACATTGAAATGAACTGGCCATGGATTTACATGGCCCATGGATTTTAAAGTGGTTGGTAAATTGGCATCCGCAAGTCCTGAGGCTAGGAAGGCCTTCCCTGATCACATCTCCTATGAATTTTTTATGCTCTTGTCAAAGGAATGACATTCATGTTGATGATATGACAGGTGATTTTTATTTAGAAGTGCTTTTCTATGTTTGTCAAGTTTCCTGTAAAAATAGACATACATGTGTGTTTCACACATAGTTTTTGTAAAAACAACAGAACCAAAAAGATGCCTTTGTTTTGTTTGTAGAGGTATAAAATATTTGTTTTATATTCTTATGCTGTATTTTTTCTCTTTGTTCATTTTAGTGGGCATTACTGAACATTGTTTTTGATTATTATGTGGTTGCTATATTTTTATATGTTGCGCGCCCATCTATATGGTCTTCTTTTATTAGTAGTTTAAGAATGTATATGAATTCCAAAGTCCATGAATTTCAGAATTCACAGATACTTCCTGTAACCTCTCCTCCAATGAATGGCAAGGATACTTACAAAAGACAGAATTTCTATTCTCAAGAATCTTCTTGTTTTGAAATATATTGGATTGGACTTGTTCATATGTTTATAGTCCTGTTCAATGTCAAGCCCATTGTTGGAGGAGTATTAATAAATATCCTAGAATCCAAAAAAAAAAAAAAATGATGAAAAAATGCTCCAAACAATAGCCGTCATGATATATTAATGTTAGAAACAAGAAAATAATTTCTTTCATTGCCACTTATCATGACCAATTTAGCATGTTCTATTAGTGCTTGCCAATGCAATTAGAGAAGGTAACAAAATAAGTAGTATACCAATGGACAGGGAAATCCAAAACTGTTACCTGCAGAAGATAAAAATCTAAGATAGTTACCTACAAAATTTTTAAAAAGGGAGAATTTAGTAGTCTAGCTATATAAGATACAAGAATATAAAAGAAAATCAGTGTCCCCTTTGTAGACATCAGAGGTAACCAATTAGAACATACATAGAAAAATCCTATTTATTAAAAAAACAATGAAGTACCTAAGGAGGAAGGGGAAGGTGAGGTAAACTGGGAGATTAGGCTTGACATAAGTACACTCCCATGTATAAAATAGATAGCTAGTGAGATCCTGCTGAATAACACAGGTAGCTCACTTCAGTGTTCTATGATGACCTAGATGGAGGAATGGGTGGGACGTCTAAAAGGGAGGTGCTATATGTATACATAAGGCTGATTCACTTCATTGTACAGCAGAAACCAACAGAACATTGTAAAGAAATTATACTCTAATTAAAAAAAGAAATATGTAATAGCCATATAAAGAATAGTATAAAACATCACTAAACAACATACCAAAACTGTAAATTGTAACAAGTGATATCACATCCTCTATATGGGAAGAATGCTGCAATGATGTTGGCTCTCGAGAAATTAGTGTCAAATTCCTAAGGCATTTGAGGGAATATGAAAAAAATATTATAGAAAATGAAGACGTAAGACACAGCAGTTTAAATAAGACTAATAAGCAGGGCCTTATTCCATGAGATAATAAAAAGTATTTAATGCTACATTAATTAACATAACATGGGCCTTTCACAGATATAAATAATCAGAGAACCAACATGAAAGTTCTAAAATGCAACCAAGTATGTGTAACAGTTTCCAGTACAATGGCAGCATCTCATATCAGTGAGAAGGGGAAGGATTCATTAAAGCTGAGTGTGTGTTGGGACAGTTGACCATGAGTGCAAGACTAGGGGAGGGAGTTTGACCTACGTTCAATTTTTAATTGATATATTAAAAATGCAAAGCAGGAAACTATGAAAATTACTGGAAGAAAATATAGGTAAACATGTACCTAATCTTGAGGTGGAAAAACCTATATGTGACAAGACAGGTAGAAATCACAATACAACATATCAATAAATATTGGCTAAATATGTACATCTGAATTTAAAAAGACCAATGTTTAATTTTTTAAAAGAGTAGAAGAAAGTTTTAACTGAAATGGCAATGACTTATATCTTTGACCTATAAAGAAAGTCTTAAAATTAGAATGATAAAGAAGTTTCTAAATTAGAAAAGCACAGAAATCCCCATGTTTAAAAAAGAAAGGGGTAAATGAGAATGCAGGGGTGACTCCTGTCGCTGGGTGAGGACCCGGATTTTCCTACAGAGAACACTGTTTTATGTGTTAAGGGCACAGCCCACAAGTCAAATATTAGGCTGTGAACCGTCCCCAGAAAGGCAAACAGATGGTGATATGGATTTGTAATCTTTGCAAACAAACCCAAATGCCTGAGATTATCCATGAAAGATCTCCTGGTGTGAGACATGGCTTGCAAACTATGACTTGCTTTAAAAATAAATAATGAGGAATTTGAGGTCGCCCTTTGCTGGGCCACTTAGCACCACAGACAGACAGCTCCAGGGTTGAAAACACAGAAGCTGAACCAGGAAGTCAGCTGCCAGCAAAGCCTAGAGATTAACTTTGGTCTGAGATCACTTACGAGATTTTGGTGAGGCTCCCTCTCATCAGTCTGTCGTTCACACATCACTGTATAATTCCTCTTTATCCTTTTTTCCATCATTTGCTCACTCTCTTCAGAAGACTTCAAAGAACTTTGTTGTTGTTGTTGTTCAGTCACTAAGTCATGTCCTACTCTTTGCAAGTTCACGGACTGCAGCACTCCAGGCTCCTCTGTCCTCCCCATCTCCTGGAGTTTGCTCAAATTTCTGTCCATTGAGCTGGTGATGCCATCCAACCATCTCATCCTCACCTGCCCCTTCTCCTCCTGCCCTCGATCTTTCTCAGCATCAGGGTCTTTTCCAGTGAGTCAGCTCTTCACACTGGGTGGCCAAAGTGTTGGAGCTTCAGCTTCAACATCAGTCCTTCAGTGAATATTCAGGGTGGATTTCCTTTAGGATTAACTAATTTAATCTCCTTGCTGTCCAGGGGCCTCTCAAGAGTCTTCTCCAGCACCGCAGTTTAAAAGCATCAACTCTTCAGGGCTCAACCTTCTTTATGGTCCAAGTCTCACATCCATACATGAACTGCTGGAAAAACCACTGAACTTCAGCAAGTTTCCATTTCCCTCATTATAATTCCTGATACTTATTCGTATAGTCAGGACCTTAGATCATGTACTTTCTTTTGATCCTTACTTTTTAACGCTTGTCCTCTTTCAGCCATTCTCTCTGACACTTATGTTTCATTTGGTTGACACACTTTTAATACTACTGTCCCTCAGTTCTGTGCCTCATTGGTTCCTTCACACTCTTTCTTAAGTGTCATACTTGAGATTCGATTTCAGGTCCTCTGGAGCACATCTTCAAGTTGTTTTCTCAGGAAGGACAGGGGGTAAGGATTTCATACTTGAAATCTCTCAGTTAGGAGTAAGATCTCTGCTCACACACTTTCCCCTCTGAATCCTGGTGGAATAAAAACCCCCAAACATGCCCATTTCCTAATCCCCCAATCTATGAGTATGTTGAGCTATGTGGCAAAGGGGAATAAAAATTGAGGTGCAATGAGGGCTGCTAGTCAGGGGCCTGGATACAGGGGGACAATCTTGGGTTAATGGGTAGGTCAGTGTGATCACAAAGAGCCTGATAAGTGAAAGGAAGGGGGAGATAGGACAATGTATAAGGGTCATTTATTGTGAGAAGAACTCAACCCACCACTGCTGACTCTGAAGATGGAAGAAGAGCCATGAGCAGGTGCCTTCTAGAAGCTGGAAAAAACAAGGAACCAGACCTTCCCTCAGAGCCTCCAGGAAGGATCACACTTCTGCCAAGACTGTGATTTTTAGGTGCCATCTAGGACTTTCATAGCTAGAGAGGAGAAATCAATACCTGGCTTCAAAGTGCCCAAGGTCAGGCTGACTGTCTTGTTAGTGGCTAAGGCAGCCGGTGACTTTAAGTTGAAGCCAGTGCTCATTTACCATTGTGAAAATCCCAAGGCCCTGAAGAACTGTGCCAAATCCACTCTGCCTGTGCTCTATGAATGGAACAACAGAGCCTGGATGAACAGCGCATCTGTTTACAATATGGTTCACTGGATATTTTAAGCTCACTAACGAGACCCACTGCTCAGAAAAAGATTCCTTTCAAAATATTACTGCTCATTGACAATGCGAAACATCCCCCAAGAGCTCTTATGGAGATTAACTGTGACATTAATAGAGTTTTCATACTTTGTAACACACGTCTACCCTGCAGCCCATGGTTCAAGGAGGAATATTGACTCTCAAGTCTTATTCTTTAAGGAATCCCTTTCAGGAGGCTATAGCTGCCATAGATAGTGATTCCTCAGATAAATCTGGGAAAAATAAGTGGAAAACCTTTTGGAAGAGATTCATCATTCTAGATGCTATGAAGAACATCTGCAATTCATGGGAAGAAGTCAAAGTATCAACATTAGTAGGAGTGTGGAAGAAGTTGATTCCAGCCCTCACAGGCGGCTTTGAGGGTCTCAAGACCTCAGTGGAGGAAACCACTGCAGATGTGATGGAAGTAGCAAGAGAACTGGAATTAGGGATACAGCCTGAGGCATTAGGGAATTGATGCAATCTCATGGTACAACTTAGGTGAGGAGTTGCTTCTTAAGAATGAGCAGAGAAAGCAGTTTCTTGATATAGGTCTATCCTGGTGAAGATGGTGTGAAGATTGTTGAAATGATAACAAAGCATTTATAATATTCATAAACTTGGTTGGTAAAGCAGAAACAGGATTGAGAGAATTAATTACAATTTTGAAAGAAGTTCTACTATGGGTAAATTGCTGTCAAATAGCATTGCATGCTACAGAGAAACTGTTTGTGAAAGGAAGAGTCAATCCACACAGCAGACTTCATTGTCTTATTCTAAGAAGTTGCCACAGCCACCCCAGCCTTCAGCAACTAGCTCCCTGATGAGTCAGCAGCCATCAGCACAGAACTGTCCCCCCACCATCAAACAGAACATTACTCAGAAGATGGTTAACAATTTTTAACACTAAAGTACTTTAGAGTATGTGCATTGTTTTTTCAAACATAATGCTATTGTATACCTACTAGACTTCAGTATAGTGTAAACATAACTTTTATTTGCATTGGGAAACCAAGAAATTCCTGTGACTCACTTTATTGCAATACTCACTTTATTGTGGTGGTCTGGTCCAAACCCACAGTAACTCCGAGGTGTGCCTGAATTACCCACCAGATGTTTGCCCTTCTCTGCCCTGGCCATCATCTTCTCCCCTCACTCCTGTCCCTTCAACCCTTTCCTCTGCATTCAGGAGAGTAAATGTATGGCTTCAAAATAAGTGGTTCTCAAGCATTTTGCCCTGAGGGACCCATTAGATTCTTAAATTTTTGAAAACTCCGAAGAGGTTTTGCTTACCTGGGTTATATCTGTCTATACTTACCTATTAAAAATTGAAACTGGGCATTTAAAAAGTAGTTGTTCACTTATTTAAAAAGAACAATAGCCTGCTTATAACATAATAAGAATTTTATGAAAACTAAATTTTTCCAAAACAAAAGCACAAATGAGGACAGTGGCATGGTTCTGTGCTTTTTGAAAACCCCTTCCCTGTCTGGCATGTTCAGAGATGACTAAATTCTGATGTTTCCTCTGCACTCAGGGTGTTGAAATATGTTGTTGAAGAAAATCTGACTTCATACAGATGAGGTAGGAAAAAGAAGGAGGAGCCTTTCCGGATGATTATGGATGTTATGTTCTGACAATACATGAAAACCCTGTAATTGGGAGTTTCTTAAAGTTGCAGTGTGGAATCTGAAACCATGCCAGTGAACTTTCCTTTCCCCGTTACATTAAAATCCACTGGTCTGTGTCGCACGTGGAATGGTTCTTCTGTCCACATGTGGACACTTGTGTAGACTTTCCCGATGTCAGTGTATTTCATTGTACATAACCAAAGCAATCACATTCATCACTGTCACTGCTGATCTCATCAGAAACCTCTCTGTGACAACAACTCTGAAGCTCAGGGAAGCAGAGACATAAAAGTTTTCCAAAAGTCTTCTCTGAGCCTGAAAGCCTGGGTTTTGTGACCAGCAACTAGCACCACCGCTTGACACACTCTTTAGTTAATTAATTAGTTTACTTCGGCTGTGCCAGGTCTTTGTTGCTGCATGCAGGCTTCTCCCAGCTGCAGTGAGCTGTGGCTGCTCTTCATTGCTGTGTGAGGGCCTCCTGTCGCGATGGCTTCTCTGGTTGTGGAACTCTAGGGCCAGTCCATCCTAAAGGAGATCATCCCTGAGTATTCATTGGAAGGACTGATGCCGAACATGAAGCTCCAATACCTTGGCCACCTGATGCAAAGAGCTGGCTCACTGGAAAAGACCTTGATGCTAGGACACATGGAGGGCATGAGAAGAGGGTGAAAGAGGATGAGATGGCTGTATGGCATCACTGACTCGATGGACATGAGTTTGAGCAAGCTCTGGAAAATGGTGAAGGACAGGGAAGCCTGACATGCTGCAGTCCGTGGGGTTGCCAAGAGTCAGGCACACCTGAGAGACTGGACAGCAGGCAGGCGGGCTTCAGGAGCTGCCACTCACGGCTCAGCAGTTGTCACACACAGGCCTAGTTGCCTGGTGGCATGTGGGGTCTTCACCAACCCATGAAGAACCTGTGTTCCCTGCATTGGCAGATGGATTCTTAACCACTGGGCCACCAAGGAAGTCCCACTTGACATACTTTCAATTAAAGACACACTTCATCAAGACATGCTTTCCTTTTCTTTCTGACAGAGAGCAGAGGGACAGTCTGTTCCTCTGGCTTGATCTGTTCTGAGACCCCAGAACTTTTACCCACCACTGCTCTTGCACGGCCAGGCCAGGGGCCCAAGAGCAGAAAAGACAAACCTTAGTGTTATTGTGAAAAGACTTTTGACCTTGTGGCCCCTATCAAGGGGTCTGGGGGTACCCCTGGAGGCCCCTGGACCACACTTTGAGAACCACTGTTCTGAATCACTGGACTTGACATTCTGCCTGTTCCTTTCCTTGTCGCCAGCTTCACTTCCTTTCCATCTTCACTTTAGCCCAGCCTTCTCCAACTCGGTGGACATGGTCTGTGGTCTTCCCATCTCAGCCTGGCTTCTTCTCATCTCCTGCTCCTCTCTCGTGTGCCCACTCCGCATAGCACACAGATGGCTTCAAGTCTTCCTTGGTTTCTGGTGGCACATCACATTCAGGCATCCGTATTCCTAAAGGTGACTTTGACCCACAGCTTCATGCTGGGCTGCACGGACATCTGGTCAACCCCATGTTTGCGATAAGCAGGCTATGGGTCTCTGGTCCCTCAGGATTCTTCAGGTTGGTGGATATTCTCTGTGTCCGGCTGGCATCTGGTGTTATTCTGCTGAACCAACATGGGGTCCCCCTCTTCCCGCCTTCCTGTCCTCCAGCTGTGCAGAAGAGAAGTTATGTCTTAAAGAGTCTGAAGCAGAGTATCTTTATCTGTTCCCCCAAACTCAAAACTGAAATACACCCACCTCCTCTGGACTCCGTGCGCTCTTGTTCCAGACACCACGTCTGGACTCTGAGCTCTTATTTAAGAGGACCTCATGCCCTGCACTTTCACTTTCACATCCTGAGATGCTGCTACCTCCCCACGTCCTCATCTTTCTTCCCAGGGGGTCTGACCCTACCTGGATAGAGAATGAGGGACACTTATTGGGAGAAAAGCTGGACAAGGCTCTGCCCAGCAAAGGGGTGGCCTCTGTGTTCTCTGGCTGAAGTAGAGACAGCAAGAGTGGACCTGGAGACTAGGCCCTTCCCCCCCGGGCCCCAGGTGCTCCACTGGGCCAGGTGGGAAGCCTGAGGCGGACACTTTCTTTACCTTGTCAGTGCAGCTTTATCTAGACTGGTCAGTGGGTAACTTAGGTTCCTACCACCTCTAGGCTGTTTCTTGGTTTGGGGGGCCAAGATAAAAGTCTTATTTTGAGTCTGTCTTCATGAGTACTTTAGTGCACAGTTGGGAGACGGAAGTCAGTGGAGCATAGCCAACGCCTAGTTTGATCAGGAGGTTCCCAGAGCTCCTTAGAATCACTGCCTTGTCTTAGACCCCCTCCCTGCTCTGGGGCATCCCCATGAGAATCCACAGTTTCTGTGGAGTTCTCTGGAGACAATGGCATCTAGTGTCTGGCTAACTTTTGTCGCTAAGAATGGATTAATTTAATCTCATCTAAAACTAAAGATATTACGTTTGGCAGACATTCTCTGCAGCTAGAACAAGAACAGTGTGTTCATTGTCGGGGGCACATTTTCCAATCAGTTCAATTTGGCAAGTTCACCAGGAAGCTGCTATTGACCACTTGCTGGTGTGAATAACTGGTTTTCCTGGGACTCTTCAGTCATTCTGGAGAACCAACTTGTGGAGTCAGCTCAACCTGCTCCAGGAGGAAATACTGTCTGACTTTTCCCTTAGGACTCTCTGTGTAGCCTTTTTAGGGAGGTTATTTGGGCAGCTCAGACAGTAAAGAATCTGCCTTCAATGCAGGAGACCTGGGTTCGATCTTTGGGTTGGGAAGATCCCCAGAGAAGGGAATGGCAACCCACTCCAGTATTCTCACCCAGAGAATCCCCATGGACAGAGGAACCTGGTGGGCTACAGTCCATGTGTTGCAAAGAGTCAGACACGACTGAGGGACTGACCACATTCAGGCAGCAGTGGGACCACTGTGATTCTGAACCTTGATGGCTCCCTTAACCTGGTCTGGGTTAAGCTTCTCAGCTCTCACTATCGGTCCCAGCCTGACGTCCACTTACCTAGTATCGTCCCCAGCTCAGCACCATTCACTCAGCCAGGGAGGCAGAGCGGGTGTGGCCAGCCAAGCCCTGGAGAAGGGAGCATCACCCCAACAACTGGATGAGGCTTCTCGCCCTGTCCTCTCTGACTCCTGCTGCTGTTCTGACCAGACCAGAGCCTCCTGGATTTTCTGTCTTCTTTCACCTCCTCTTGGTTTAATATTTATTTGGCTGCACTGGGTCTTAGTGGCAGCACAAGGGATCTTCATTTGCAGCACTGGGAATCTTTAGTTAGAGCATGTAAACTCTTAGTTGTGGCCTGTGGGAACTAATTTCCTCTTAAAGAATGACACTGGGCAACAGATTTACTCTAGATAACCGTGTGGCCCAACCAGGGTGCACCCCTCCAGGATCCCACCTGGCTCCATCTCTGCTAGTTTCCGGAACTGCCAACTCCATGTGGTCTGAGGGAGCTTGGACCTGGGTCCTAGTGGCCACGGATCCACGCACGTCCAGCTGCGCTGGGTGCCTGGGCGGAGCCTGCAGGCTGTGGGCTTTGAATCAGAAAATCTCCGGGCTCAGGGTCAGAGCTGGGGAATAAACCTGAGCTCCAGGACCTCTGTCCATCCTCCTCCTGTTACACTGAGCCACATGAGATTGTGCGGGCTGTGGTGGGTGGCCCCCTCCTGGGAGGATGAATCTGTATGGTTTGCACCCCTTTGGCAATGAAAGAAAGTCATGGGCACACAGCCTGGGAAAATGTAACCGCATAGAGAGTCACAGAAGTGTTTAAATGCAATTTCACATCTATGAACATAGCGTGTTTTGATTGCTGGATGGCACGTGTTTGAACCCAGCCTTCTGGTCTTCCCTGGAGTGGGGTGGGGGTGGTGCTGTGGACAATAAGGCCTGCCTGTGGGGTTATTTCCTGACTTTGGGGTTGCTATTGCCTGAATCTGATAGCTGTGTGTGTGTGTGTGTGTGTGTGTGTGTACACACTTAAAGTTTGTTGCAGAAACAAGGGGGTCCAATATTTTCTTGTTTCCAATAAAGGGGGTTGAAGGGCAAGATTAAGAAGGAAAACTCCAAGAGGGAGCTGCTTTCAGACACAGCCCACCTGAGCAACACCCACTGCGCCCGCTGCCTGCAGCCCTACCGGCTCCTTGAGACCCCCAAGAGGCAATGCCTGAACTGCCACCTCTTCACCTGCGGAGGCTGCAGCCACCCCCACCCAGAGGAGCAAGGCTGGCTCTGTGACCCCTGCCACCTGGCCAGGTGAGTGGGACCTGGAGGTCAGAGGGTCCTGCAGATGGGGGGCCTGGCCTGCCCTTCCAGGGACACGTGTGTGTGTGTGTGTGTGTGTGTGTGTGTGTGCATGCATACAGGGCGTGGGTCTGACCTCCGTGTCCCCGCCTGCAGGGTCGTGAAGGTGGGCTCTCTGGAGTGGTACTACGGGCATGTGAGAGCCCGCTTCAAGCGCTTCGGGAGCGCTCAAGTGGCGCGGTCCCTCTGCGGGCGGCTGCAGGGAGCAGGTAAGGAGTGGGCCTCCTCCCTGGGCATCCGATTTGGCACCTAGACTCTGTCTTTTCAACAAACATTCCCCACTGAGTCTGATGATTATCAAGACTTGAAGAGATGGATTGTAATTCAATCAGTGGCTTTCATACTTTGAATCCAAGTATTTATTCCATGAAGAACTTGAAATCCAGACTGTCCTGTTACACTAAACGTCTGTTCACCTGTGTTGTCCACCTTGAAGCCATTTGGGTTGACCAGTATTTCAGGGAAGGCTGTGAGGTTGCCTGACCTTGGGAGTTCCTCCTGAACTTGAATGGGGAGAACTGAGTGGTGTTTTCAGGAAGCACTAGGCTTGCCCCTGTCATCTGAGCTCCAGGCTCTGCTGTGACACCTGGCCAGGCAGCCAGGCTACGAGAGCTATTAGGCCGGGGCTCAGCATCTTGACTGTCTCTACCTGGGGGCCCAAGGCCAGTGCCCTCGGGTCTGGAGCCCTGCAGGTCCAGAGAAGGGGCCATGCTCCTGAGATTGAGGGTGTCCTCAGTGTGCCCCAGCCTGGCCGTCTCCCCTGGGCCTCCTGGGGAGGTGCCGCCTTGTGTCTTGTGCTCCTTAATGTCCCAGGTTAATGGGCGGATGCAGCAGTTGGGCATGGCCACCCCCAGGGCATTTGCACGTATACCAGGCCTGGCACAGCTTTCAGAGGGGTCTCAGCACACTCTTTTGTGTTTCTATCATATTTGTTTGTATTGCTTTGGTTTCGAAGGGTCTTAGTTGTGGCACTTGGGGTCTTAGGTCTTCGCAGCATACGGGGTATTTAGTTGCGCCATCTGAACCCTTAGTTGCAGCATGAGGAATCTAGTTCCCTGACCAGGGGTCGAACCGAGGCCCCCTGCATTGGCAGCTTGGAGTCTTAGCCGACTGGACCGCCAGGGCAGTCCCTTAGGACGTTGTTGAATTTAGCACAGACCACCCAGAGGCACCCTCACCTGTAATGGCCTTTAGCACCCGGAGGAACAGACCACTGCGGGGTGAGGGACCCTTCTTGGGTGGGGGCTGTGGGGGGCATGTGATAAATCACCAAAACCAGGACATTTTTGAAGAGTAAAGCGGTCCTCCTGAGAACCACGCTGAGACAGCCAGTGTCACTAGGGGTGCCCCGGGGATACGGGGAGGCACCGTCACCCTATCCTTGGAGGGTTTCCCCACCTCCTCCCTGGGTTGCTTCTCCACGTCGCATATCTCTATCTCGGCTGGAGCTTATCAGTAAATCCCCCGTGACGGCTCGGCCAGCCAGCAGCCAGCCAGCCGAGGGGTCTTCCTGCAGCAGGAGTTGTGGTCCGGCCCCCCTCCGCAGGGCTCAGGCGTGGGAACCACAGGCAACGTGCCATCCTGCGCAGCATCTGAGAAGCTCAAGCCCCGCTCGCGGTGGGAAACCATAGCCACATCACAACCCTGAGGACCTGGGCCTCGCCCCGGCGTCGAGGTGGGGGGGGGGGGGTGGTGCGGGGGGACTGCTTATTTCTAGAGACCCGGGTGGGCTCAGGAATCCGCCTTAGGTAAAAAGCCAGGAGGATTCTGACGGCCCAGCCAGGGCCCAGAGCTGCGCGAGCCGTACCACCCGGAACCGCCCGTTTCGGAAGTGTCACCGCTGAGGGCCAGGAGGTGGCGCTGCGGAGCAACCAAAGCCCCGGTTCCGGCCGCTGCTGGTGGGGGCGGCGGGCAGCGAGGCGGGCCCAGGCCGGGCGATGGTCGGGGGGCGGCTGCCTTCTCGCTGCTGGCACCTGTCAGCGCAGCGGACAAGAAAGGGCGCCGGGAGCGAGCGCGAAATGGGCAAGTCGTGCCTTTAAAAAAAGTATTCAAATTTACAAAGAAGAAAGGATCAAAGTGAATGTTTGGAAACCTGGCCCAGGCAGGGTAGCGGGTGGGGGGCCGCCGGGGTCTTCCCTGCGCGGGAGGCTTCAGAGCGGTGGGCGCGTTTCCCCAGGGCCCCCTCCTCCGCCCCCGGAACAGGACCGGCAGGCAGTGTTCGGGGGCAGGAAAGGAAGCCCGGCGCGGGCAGGTGGCTCCCGGAGAACGCCTGTCCGCTCAGCGCCTTTTCTTCTGTCGCAGGTTTACCTGATGGAGTGCGGAGCGCGCCCGACCTCCACAGTGAGTCCTTCCTGCTCACATAGATGTCAGGGTGCCCTGAGCAGGGGGGATGATCCCCGAGGCTGCCAGACGAACCCCAGAAGTCACGGGGTCATCCTGGTAGTGTCTTAAGAGAAGAACCCAGGCCAGGCCAGGGCGAACAGGAGAAAAGGGGAAAAAATGAGGCTGCAGTGGGGGTAACAGGGTCGGGGCGGGGAGGTCCTGGGGACGCCGGTGAGGAAGGTGCCCGGGTCAGGAGGAGAGAGGCGGGGATGGGGGCCAGGGGCTGAGCCTCCCCCGCCTCCCGGGGCGGGTGCTGAGAAGGAGGTGAATGGACTGCAGGTGAAGAGGTTTGTTGGGCCGAATGTGACTGAGCTCCAGGGCGCCTTCGCCCACGGCCCCGCAGTGTCTGCAGATCCCTAGGAGGCGGTCAGTGAAGGCGACCGTGGGTGAAAGTGATGCGGCGTGCTGGTTTCCTGCTGTGGTTCAGACCAGCCCTAAGCGATGCTCTGACAGGGCTCTGGAGGCCGGCAGAGGGCCTGGTTGGGTAGCGGCACAGCAGGTGTTGGGGGGGCTGCGGGTGGAGGGATAGGCGGGGGGACGGACGGATGGGTGGGTGGGGGGATGAATGGTTTGTCCCCGTCTCTCTCCCTGGTGTAGTCACGCAGACATCCACTGCAGGTGGGCCTGAGCAGATGCCCGGAGACTCAAGTGGAGAGGAAGAGCAGACTGATGAGGATGGAGAAGGGGACACAGCGGCCCAGGCCCAGCCCCTTGGCAGCCAAGTAGGTCTTCCCCAGCCCCGCCCCCGTCCCCCCGAAGCTGGAGCCTCTGTTCTGATTTCCTGAGAAACCTCAGGCTCTGCGTGCCTCCACTAACTAACCTGGCAGGAGCCTGGAGACCACCCAATCTGCCGTGCCCCGCGGTCTCTGAGATGTCTGGGTACCAAATCCAGGTGTGCTCTCAGCATCCATCTCCCAGTGGGAACCTAGAGCACGCAGTGGAGGGCGGGGCCTTCCTGGACCTCCAGCCTGGCCCAGCCTGGGCCATCAGGCCATGGGTCCTGGGGCTCATGGGTCCTGAGGGCACCGGTGTCCCCAGTCAGCCTGTGCACCTTTCAGAGAGGCAGCCCCCTCCCGCTCTCCCCTCTGAACTTTCTTGCTTTTGTTTATAGCCAACCATGAGCCCTGTTCGTTTTTTGTTTTTTGGAGTTGGTTTGTTTTTTTTTTTTTGGTTTTATGCCTGTTTTTACCTATTTTTTTAAGACTGTGTTATTTTATTTATTAGTTATTTTTGGCCATGGCGGGTCTTTGCGGCTGCGTGTTGGTTTCTCTACTTGCAGTGAGCAGGGTTTTCTCTCTAGCTGCGGTGCTTAGGTTTCTCATTGCAGGGGCTTCTGCTGTTTCAAGGGCTTCCCTGGTGGCTCAGACGGGAAAGCGTCTGCCTGCGATGCGGGAGACCCAGGTTCAATCCCTGGGTTGGGAAGATCCCCTGGAGAAGGAAATGGCAATCCACTCCAGTCTTCTTGCCTGAAAAATCCCACGGACAGAGGAGCCTGGTAGACTACAGTCCATGGGGTCGCAAAGAGTTGGACATGACTGAGCAACTTCACTCACTGCTGTTGCAAAGCACGTGCTCTGGGCTACACGGGCCTCAGGACCTTCAGCACATGGGCTCAGTACTTGCAGCTCCCAGGCTCAGTGATTCAGGTGCTTGGGTTTAGTTGCTCTGTGGCATATTGGATCTTCCCACCAGGGATCAAACCCATGTCTCCTGCATTGACAGGTGGGTTCTGCCACTGAGCCACCAGGGAAGCCCTGTTTTGGCTTATTTTTTAACTTATTCCTGGTGATAAAGGCAGGAAAGAGAGCCTGTGGGGGTCTGGGCGGGACGACAGAAGAGGATCAGAGGAGGGGTGGGGCAGGGCGGGCGGTGTTGGGTGGAGACCCTTGGAGAGTCAGGGGGTCTCTGAGAGCCACACTGGCAGGCATTTCTGCCGGCTGCTCCCTAGGGAGCACATACATCTTTTTATGAAAATAAAACTGTACTCGTGCTATTGACTGGGCTCCCAGAACACTCTCTGGTGTCTGAAATATTCCCTGAAAATACATTCAAAGGATGGAAACCGTTACGAGGGAAGGATTTGGAACTAAGCTCTACTCCAGTGTCTAGAGGTGAAGGAGCTCGTGGGAGCCGCCTTCCCCGCCTCCTCCCTGTGCTAGGTACCCCTCCTTCACCAAGGGGGGAGGGGCGGGAGCCCCCCCCCCCGGTTACCCCAGGAAGCCCCGCCTGCCCCCCAAGGCTGCGGCCCCGGGCCAGTGACCTCAGAGCCTCTGAGCAGCCAGGTGTCCTCGGAGGCCCAGCGTGTGCTTCCCCTGCTCTTCCGAGAGGGGCTGCGGGTGCAGATCCTGTGATGGGGATGGGCTCTGGGTGGCCCTCGGAGCCTCCTCGGGGTCTGCTCATGTCTAGCACAGAAGGCAGACGGGCCCGTGGAGGCACCCTCCCCGCCCTGCTGCCCGGGGTCGGGGCGTCTGGCCCCCGCCATCAGGCTGACCCTCCCTCTCCTCTCCCCCAAATCCCTTCCTGCTCAGAAAAAGCGCCTCCTCCCCGTCCACAGCTGGGACTTTGAGGCCGACTCTGACGACTCCGATCCGTCCTGCGGTCCCCCGCCAAGCCTATCCTCGGTTTCAGGGGCCACGGACAGCCTGCAGGTCAGTGGGCTCTCTTTTTGCCCCTGAGTTAACCTGGGGGACAGGTTTTCAGGCCCCAGGAAAGGACAGTATTCTGGGAAACAGTCTGATGGCCCTGCAGGCCTAGCAAGGGAGGGACAACTGGGGCGGGGGTACAGAAGCCTCACACCCTCCCGTCCTGGAGAGCCTGGGTGGGCTGCTTGGAGAAGAGGGGCGCGGGGCCAATGAGTCGGGGGCCTGGGTTGTCTGTCCTCTAATGAAGGCAGACCCCCTGTGACTCAGGAGTGCAGGGTAGAGGAGTCAGACGGCCCCCGAGTCCCGCACCCCTGGTGTGATCCACAGGGCTCCTGTACCTTATTGCCCAAACTAGGCCAGTCTTGTAGGTGGAAGAGGCTGTTGGTAATCACACCAGGACACGGGGCATCCGCAGGGCGGACGAGAGAGCCCGGCCATGTGGTGCCTCTGCTCCTTGGTTCTGTGCCCTTGGTCTGGGCAACCTGTGTGAGGCTCCCCACCTCCCACCTCGCCTGGAAAAGGGGTGATCTCTGCCTCATGGGATCCCTTCCACGAGGGACTGGAGACTGAGCCTGGTGCACCCCAGCCCCAGAGTGACGGCACCCCAGCTGGAGCCCTGACATCTCAGTGCCCTGGCTGCTCGGGTGGTGCTGGCCCAGGACTGGGTTTACCCAGGGTGATCTACGGACCCCTGGGTGTGGGGCCCAACAGGGCAGAGAGCTGGGACCCGGCAGCCATCAGGTCTTTGGTCCACGGTCCTGCTCTGGTGGCAAGTCCAGAGCCCTTTGAAATGAAAGGGAGTTGAATGCTAGGATGGAGAGGAAGGGGGACTTGTGTTTGGTCGGTCAGATGATGCATGAAAACCCTCAGTCCTTGGACTGGAAAGACCCACATTCCAAGGACCTGCCTATTCCTAGTGAAACCTGCCGACCGTTCCCATGTGCTCAGGCCCTCACAGATGACCCCTGCACAGAGGAGACCACCTCCCAGGAGGCCCGGGTCCTGGACCAGGCTGATGCCAGGGCCCCTGGATGCCACTCCCATGCAGAAGAGCAGAGGGTCAGCCTCTTTCCTGCCGGACCAGACGAGCTCTCAGAGCCCTGCCTGCCGGAGGAGTCCTGCACTGCAGGCCCAGGAGTCGCTGCCACTCCTGGTGAGTGCCCTTGACCGTGGTCTTCCACACGGGCTCCGTGTGGAGGAGGGGTGGCTGGAACCCGCCCCCCCGCCCCCACCCCGCNCCCCCGCCCCCACCCCGCCCCGATCTGTGCCGGGACACTGGCTGATTGCCAGGAGCCCCTTCCTTCCTGGGATTGTCGAGTGTGTGTGGTCCTGGAAGACGCCATTGTCACCGGAGCTCCCCAGGTGGGTGCCTCCCCGTAACCCTCAGAGGTACCAGCTCAACCCCCTGGCTGGCCACGCAGCTCACTGCCGCCTGTGATGGGGGACATCGAGTGGGAGTGAGATAGAGACACACAGGTGTCCCTGAAATGACTAGGGTCACCGGTCACCTGGACCAACCTTTCTGAGCTCAGGACGGGGCAGTTCCAAACCTGGGACCTAAATAGGGTGCAAGTCCATCTGGGCCGCCTGCCTGCCAGCTGTGACTTGGGAGGTCTACAAGTGGCAATGTCAAGGGTCAGGTGTCCGAGTGATGTAGGAGCCGAGGAGACCACAGAACAGCTCAGGCTGCCTGCCACAGTGCTCCTGCCTGGCCTGACCACCGTGGGGGCCAGCTCCCAGGGAAATGTAGTTAAGACAGTGTCTGCCAGGAAATGGGTCCTCTTCCCATTTTCCCTTTTCATTGTATTATAGGGACTCTAATCTCATGATCCACACGCCCATTAAGATGCTGGAGGCGTTTGGGGGGTGGGGAGGGGACTTTTATTTCCCCACAAACAGTGGATAAGTGAATCTACATCGACCGAGTCTTTGGATGAAGACTAGACCAGCACATTTCCTCCCGGGATCCCTAATCACCCCCAGCATGAGGATGGCGGGGGCAGTGGGTGGGGCGGGGGAGACAGACTCTGTGGAGCTGGGGCAAGTGCCCAGGGGCACAGGCAGCCCTGAGTACCAAGCCCAGCTCTGCTGACCAACTCGCGACCCTATCTCATGGACTCTAAGACACATTCTGTCACCTCGCCTCTTAAATCGGGAGCATCTTACAGCAAGTGTGGGAGACTGATCGGTAATGCTGTCTCAATAAGTGTATCAGACAAGCCGCAATGTTTGAGCTTTAAAGAAGTGCAGTGTGTGCTTGATCAAACCCCTTGACCGCCGGGCCTCAGCGTCCTCATTGTAAACCAGGGCTGGTGCCTGACTCACCACACTGTTGTGGGCTTTAAATGAGACGGTTGTACCTGTTAGCTATTGCAGAGTAAGAACTTATCACAGACCTACTGGCTTAAAGCAGCACACGTTGATAAGCCCACAGGGGCCAGGTGTCTGGCACGGCTTCCCCAGGTCCTCAGCACAGGTCTTCTGGGCTGCAACCACAGGGTCAGCAGGGCCAGAGCCTTATCCGAGCTCAGAACCCTGCCCCCAGGTCCTACAGTGTGTCGGCAGAGCCACGCGGCAGGTCAGGCCCCAGAGCAGCTTGTGGATGCTGAAACTCCTGGGACACGGGCTCCTGTGTGTCCTCCCACGTGAGCTCACCCCCTCCCTGCCGCAGCCTGGCTGTGTGTGGTGCTCTTCAGGCCAACTTGGAGCTCGGAGGGTACTTCCTGGTGAGGCCTTGGGGGATTTTCCACCACCAGAGCCCAGGAATAAGCCTCTGAAGCCACACCATTGGTGACCCGTGCCCACGAGTCTGGGAATCACTAGTCTGGCAGGACAACCAGCCCCCAGAGACTAAGGTGGAAAGACTTCCCAAAGTCATGTCCACACGTGGAAACTTCCTGGGACCCACGTCTGCCACAGTAGGCACCACCTGGCTGCTCACGCTTGGGGGCCCCCAGTGAGTGCCGGCTGGGGCAGGGGCTTCTGTCCCCGAAGTTCCTCGTGGGGGACAAGGACTCTGCTCTTTTCTTACCATAGTTGAGGGATCTTCAGCCCCGTATCATCAATGGAGTAGTTTCACGTCCCTATTCTCTTTGATCTCTCATTTTTCTTCATTGGATAAGACGCCCGCTGGCCTTCAGGTTTTCACTCCACATAACTCAACCCCATTATTACTCCAAAGGGCCAAACATCCTCAGGAGTGGGCAGCTGCCCTCCCAGTATCTGGCTGACGTGGACACCTCGGATGAAGAAAGCATCTGGGCTCAGAGAGTGGCCTTTCACCATCCCAGACAGACAGGCTGGACCACATCTGAGAACCAGGTAAAGGAGGGCTGAAAGAACGCATTCTGGTTGCTTCTTTGGGTCTGAAGTCTTTTTACCTTAACGTCAGTTCACCTCTGAGAACTTAAAGCTCTCAGAACTTTTAAACTACAAGATTGGCACGCCTACGTAACAGAGATGCGGTGTCTTCAAAATATGTTTTTTATTGACATGAAATTCACATAACATACAATTAACCATTTTAAAGTGAACAGTTCAGGGCTTCCCTGCTGGCTTGGTAGTGAAGAATCCGCCTGCCAGTGCAGGAGACACGGGTTCGATCCCTGGTCTGGGAGAATTCCGCATGCTACAGAGCAACTAAGCCCATGGACCACAACTAATGAGCCTGTGATCTGGAGCCCGGGAACTGCAGCTAGAGAAAGGCCTGTGCAGCAATGAAGACCCAGAACAGCCAAATAAATAAGTAAAATTTTAAAAATGAAATAAACAACTCATTTAGCAGAATAGACATTTAGCAAACATTTTAGCTAAATGTTTAGCTAAATAAACATTCAGCAAAATAACCACTCTGCTTTTAGCAGATTCACAAGGTGGTGCAAACATCACCTCTGTCAGTTCCAAACCATCTTTGTCACCACAAAGGACAGATTGTATCCTCCCACCCCGCATACACCGGCGGATTTGCTTCTTCTGGACACTTCATGTAAATGCGATCATACAATGTGTGACCTTTTGTTCCTGGCTTCTTTCACTGAGAGCAGTGTTCTTGAGATTGATTGCATTATAGCAGGTATCAGTACTTGGTCCCCTTTAATGAAAATATCTATTTTATACTCTAATAAAGTATTGTGTCTTTAGGGAATTCCCTGGATGTCCAGGGATTAGGACTCTGACCTTCCACTGCAGGGGACTCAGGTTCAATCACTGGTTGGGGATCTTAAGATCCCACGTGCCATGTGGCCAAAAAAAAAAGAAAAATATATATATATACAGTATATATATATATATATATATTTTTTTTTTTTTTTACAAAAGGAAGAAAAAACCTGTTATTCTAAAGCCTTTCAGTTCAAATCAATCATTCAGTCATGTACACCTCTTTGAAACCCCATGGACTGCAGCATGCCAGGCTTCCCTGTTCAACAGGAGTTGGCCTGGAGCTTGCTCAAACTCATGTCCATCAAGTTGGTGACACCATCCAAACATCTCATCTGCTGTCATCCCCTTCTCCTGCCTTCAGTCTTTCCCAGCATCAGGGTCTTTTCCAATGAGTCAGCTCTTCGCATCAGGTGGCCAAAGTATTGGAGTCTCAGCTTCAACATCAGTCCTTCCAATGAACAATCAGGACTGATCTCCTTTAGGATTGACTGGTTGGATCTCCTTTCTGTCCAAGGGACTCTGAAGAGTCTTCTCCGACACCACAGTTCAAAAGCATCAATTCTTCAACACTTCGGCTTTGTTTATAGTACAACTCTCACATTCATACATGACTACTGGAAAAACCATAGCTTTGACGAGATGGACCTTTGCTGGCAAAGTAATGTCCCTGCTTTTTAATATGCTATCTAGGTTGGTCATAGCTTTTCTTTCAAGGAGCAAGCATCTTTTAATTTCATAACTGTAGTCACCATCTGCAGTGATTTTGGAGCCACCGAAAGCAAAGTCTCTCACTGTTTTCATTATTTCCCCATCTATTTGCCATGAAGTGATGGGACCAGATGCCATGATCTTAGTTTTCTGAATGTTGAGCTTTAAGCCAACTTGTTCACTCTCCTCTTTCACTTTCATCAAGAGGCTCTTTAGTTCTTCGCTTTCTGCCGTGAGGGTGGGATCTGCATAATTTCACTGCATAAATGCATAACCACATTGCCGAATATTTCTCCTGGCAATCTTGATTCCAGCTTGTGCTTCAGCCAGCCTGGCATCACAGGCTACCAACTGCTCCCCAGGGCCTTGGGGATGAGAAGCAGAGCTGCCCAGCGGGTCGGGCCTTTGCTGAGCCCTCTGCCCCCATCGGTGTCCACTTCCTGCCCCAGCACTGGCAGCAGGAGATCTGCCCGGGGCTCACCTTCTCCAGCAGGGAGGGTGGGGCGTCGACCTGTCCTCTGTCCAAGCCGGCCTGGAATGGGTGAGGGGCCCTTCCAGCCTCAGGCCCTTCGTGACTGCACTCTGGAAGGTGACCTGTGGAGCTCCAGACTTGTAGGAGGAGCCTTTCTTTGCCTGGTCCTTTGGTGAATCGGTGTCAGGTTTGTGTTAAAAAACTTGATTGGACTAGAGCATCCGTGGGGCAGAAGCGTGGCGTGCTTCAGCTCTGCGTGTCTCCCTCTGCAGAGGCTGTGCCCTCAGCCCAGCTGGCCCTCGTTCCTGTAACACCGCCTGGAGGTGTCGCCCGACCCGGGCCAGGCATTCCTCCTGCTCCCATCTCCATCCCTGAGAGGTGTCGCTGACCTTTGCCCTGAGCGCAGCAGGGCGTAAGAGGCCCTGCGGAGGCCTGCAAGGAGAGCCCTCTCTGTGCCAGGTGACCAGGGCTCTCACTGCCTTTCAGGAGCGGCCGGGGAGATGCTGACACACAGTGTGCCTTGGGTCAGAGCAGGGGGCCACTGGCTTGGCCCCTGGGGGTGGGCATGGTGGTCGGGGGGAGGCCACTCCAGGCAGAGACCTCCCCGGGGCAGAGACCTCCCGGGACAGAGGCCTCCCCGGGGCAGAGACCTCCCCAGACAGAGGCCTCCCCGGGGCAGAGACCTCCCCGGGACAGAGACGTCTCCAGACAGAGACCTCCCCGGGACAGAGGCCTCCCCGGGGCAGAGACCTCCCCGGGGCAGAGACCTCCCCGGGACAGAGACGTCTCCAGACAGAGACCTCCCCGGGACAGAGGCCTCCCCGGGGCAGAGACCTCCCCAGACAGAGACCTCCCCGGGGCAGAGACCTCCCCAGACAGAGACCTCCCCGGGACAGAGACCTCCCCGGGACAGAGACCTCCCCCAGACAGAGACCTCCCCGGGAAAGAGGCCTCCCGGGACAGAGGCCTCCCCGGGACAGAGGCCTCCCCCGGACAGAGACCTCCCCGGGGCAGAGACCTCCCCGGGACAGAGGCCTCCCCCGGACAGAGACCTCCCCCAGACAGAGACCTCCCGGGGCAGAGACCTCCCCGGGACAGAGGCCTCCCCCAGATAGAGACCTCCCCGGACAGAGACCTCCCCGGGGCAGAGAACTGCCCGGGGCAGAGAACTCCCCGGGGCAGAGACCTCCCGGGACAGAGACCTCCCGGGACAGAGGCCTCCCCCAGACAGAGACCTCCACCAGACAGAGGCCTCCCCGGGACAGAGACCTCCCCCGGACAGAGACCTCCCCCGGACGGAGACCTCCCCGGGACGGAGACCTCCCCGGGACAGAGACCTCCCCGGGGCAGAGAACTCCCCGGGACAGAGACCTCCCCTGGACAGAGGCCTCCCCGGGACAGAGACCTCCCCGGGACAGAGACCTCCCCCGGACAGAGACCTCCCCGGGGCAGAGACCTCCCCAGACAGAGACCTCCCCCGGACAGAGACCTCTCCGGGACAGAGACGTCTCCAGGACAGAGACCTCTCCAGGCAGAGACCTCCCCGGGACAGAGACCTCTCCAGACAGAGACCTCCCCAGGACAGAGACCTCTCCAGACAGAGACCTCCCCCAGACAGAGACCTCCCCAGGACAGAGACCTCCCCAGACAGAGACCTCCCCAAGACAGAGATCTCCCTGGGACAGAGACCTCCCCAGGACAGAGACCTCCCCAGGACAGAGACCTCCCCCAGACAGAGACGTCCCCAGGCAAAAACTTCCCTGGGTTGCAGAACACAGCTGGCAGAGCAGTTCCCAGTTCCCAGGGACAATGGGATGAAGACTAGAATTAAATTGTCTATTTTCAGCAAGTTTTTAATTTAGCAATTTCAGTGACTTTCAGGAAAATACAGATCCCGGTATTAGCCCTACTGACACCAATCCTCCTTCTTGCCTCCTTGAATTTCATGCTTGTACCTTGTCTCCGGAATTCTTATCCATTTCTTTCTGTTGACTTTCTTTACTCCAACTAACATTTCACCTGCAGGGTGCCCTCCACATCTTTATGAACAGGGAGTTGGGCAGGATGAAGAGCAGCCTCCCAAGGCAGCAGCATCCCTGAGTGCCAGTGAAGACCCAGGACCAGCCCTTCCAGGGTCTTCATGGAGGAGCTGCTGCAGGGCCCTGGAGGAAGGTCTCTGCCTCTGCTCACCTCTCAGAGCAGCTCTTCTAAATCAGCTCTCACAGACGTGCCCATGGGAGGGCAAGAGTTCTCGAGAATAAGCATTTGTTGGGGTCCATCTGAATAGTCCTCCCATGACCCATTGTCTGTCTCTGAGTCTGTACTCATGGTCAGGACTTTCTGGGTGAGGGATATTCAGCAAAGACTTTGTATAAACAACCTCCTCCTAGAGGAGGCCTAAGATGGCGTAGCACATGGTACCAAGGGTATATGCTCCAAGGCACTGAGATGGCATGCCATCTTCCCGAGTGGTGGGTGGTGAGCACTGGGGACCTGAGAGCTCAGGCTCCAGACACTGATTCAGTTTCCCCACAAAGGGCCTCAGCAGCATCAAGTGAGAGTAGTTTCTTTTCCTCCATGGCCTGTGTCTGTCTGGACTGTATTTGTAAGTTGTTCATTTACATTTTGCTGCAAAGGAGCTGAGAACACTAGGAGTTTATTCTGAGTTGCTACCCGTGTGTCCCAGGAGCGTGTGATTTACTTCAACACGGAGCTCACGCGGGGCAGAGCAACTCCCGCTCTTGCAGAAGGGAGGGCCAGGAGCTCGTTGGGTCCCTGAGCGCCTGAAAGGCAGGTGTGCCCTGGGGGGTGGGGGGTGGGGTGGTGTCTGCACGGGGCCAGTGCCTCTCGATCCCAGGTGGAAGAGCAGGATGGTGCTCTGTGCATCGTGTCTGTGCCATCCAGGAGGCGGACAGCCGAGTCCTCACCCAGAGAGCAGCGTGGAGCCCGAAGCTCGCCTCTGGGACCTAGGACTGTGGCCTCTCCGTGGCTCCACGCAGCCGCCCCCCCCCCCCAGCCCCTCTCTATCAGGACGAGAACTTCCTGAACGCTCGTCACGGGTGCGCTTCCTTCTGTTTCACTCTGGAGGTGACATTTCACCATGCCTGTGTTGGGCTCTGGTTGGTCCAGCTCTTACCCTCTGGCCACGTGTTCCACGCCGGCCATGCTCCCTGGGGACACGAGGCTGTCCTCAGAGCCTCCCTCCCCGCCCCACCAGATGACAGAGTGCAACCAGAGCTGGTTCCAGTTGCCAGCAGCCACTTGTGACTGCAGGGCTCCCCCTGCCCGAAACCTTCATGCTTAAGTTTCTCAGCTCATGTTCTTCTCTGGGCAGACTTGCCCACTCAGGGCCCTCGCTGCTGTGAAGATCAAACTAATTACCTACAAAACAACGCGGAAGAGTCTTCCCAGCCCACTGGTGCCATTTGCCTGTTAAGACAAGGCAGCCCACGGACGAGATAATGGCAGGAAAGATACATCTGCTGGGCTCAGAAGAAAATGGGAGAATTGATTTCCTCTGCCCCAGCCTGGGAGCTAATAGACTGTGACTCAAGATTCAAGAGCTGGTGGTGACTCAGGGATGAGGAAGCCGTACGTTGAGTCACTTTAGGTCATTACCTGGGCGCCTCCTGGCCCACAGTGACCCCGGGCGCTGGCCATTTCGTTCCATCAGCCTGGTGCGATCAATGCCCACCTTCCTGTGTGGCTCACGATCAGCGGTGATGGGTCCACTGCCCACAGCAGTGACGCCAAACATGTCACCTCTCCTGCTGTAGTCATGTCTTCTGCGCCCCGCTGCCCGCTCCTGCTGCAGCTTGATGTCTCAGAGCCCTATGGTCAGAACACGGGCTTCCCAGTTACCTTCCCAGCCCACGTCCCCGATGGCGCGCTTAGCTCTCCTTCCATCGCCTGGCGTCTGGAGCTCCCAGGGTGGTGGGTGTCAGTGTCCTGATGGTGGGTGCAGCTCCGTCTTCCAACCACTGAGTCCCACCTTCTGCTCCAGGTCTGTGAGCAGACATGCAGGTGTCAGCTGTGGACCTCCTGCTGACATAGTCATGCTTCTGATGGCCAGGTCACCCCCCGGGGGGCCAGGCAGGGGCCAGGCAGGTCCCGGCCAAGTGAGAAGAAAGAGCTGAAGCCCCTTTGTTAAAGGAGGTTGAGGCACCCACCCAGGTCTCTCTTGAGATTTCCTGGGTTGTGAGCTTATGTGTGGTGCTCAGAGAGCCAGGGGTTGGGGGGGATCCCCTGCCCCATCCAGGTCCCCCGCCATCAGCTGTACCTAGAGCCTGTGCCTCAGTGGGCCCAGCAGATGGTGCAGGAGACTCAGAGGCATGCAGGGGTGCAGCCTTAGTTCATTTCAGTCGCTCAGTCCTGTCGAACTCTCTGTGACCCAGTGGACTGCAGCACGCCAAGCCTCCCTGTCCATCTCCAACTCCCAGAGCTTACTCAAACTCATGTCAATGGAGTCGGTGATGCCATCCAACCATCTCATCCTCTGTCATCCCCTTCTCCTCCTGCCTTCAGTCTTTCCCAGCATCAGGGTCTTTTCTAATGAGTCGGCTCTTCACATCAGGTGGCTAAAGTATTAGAGCTTCAGCTTCAGCATCAGTCTTCCCAATGAATATTCTAGGTTGATTTCCTTTGAGATGGACTGGTTTGATCTCTTTGTAGTTCAAGGGACTGTCAAGAATCTTCTCCAGCACCACAGTTTGAAAGCATCAACTCTTCAGGGCTCAGCCTTCTTTATGGTCCAACTCTCACATCTGTACATGTTGGTTCCCTTCTTTTCCAGCCGCTGTTTATGCTCTAACCACAACTGCAGTTATAACAGAGACTTTAGCAGTTATGACCAAATAATCCCACCCTGAAAATTAGTTTTGAGAAGCATATACACAGATAAGAGCCTGGAGCAGAGATTGCCAGATACAAGCACTATTTTCCTCCATGTTTCTTAGCAGCTGAGGCAGAGAAGTAGACATTCTGGGTTGTATGAGTCTCATCCAAGCCAGATGACAAACTTCCCTGGCTCTAGATTCAAGAAGGGACACGTGGCGAGGGTGCCGCTGACTGTCTCATAGAAAACATTCCTGCAATGTTCATACAAGAGTCACAAATATGCTGTGGACACGTCTCAGCTCCAGGCGGGCATCTGCAACTCTGACTCCCCTTGCAAAGCCGACAGGAGATGTGGGCACAGAGCCTGGCAGGCAGAGAGATGCTGTGGATGGTAGACATGAATGTCACTGTCCTTATGCAAGTTCAGGCCCCACCCCCGAGCCCTCAGGTGATGCTGAAGCCACATGGCCATCATGGGCTTCAGTCTAAACATGAAGGGGATAGAGGAAAACCCAGAGAACAGATGTGTCAACTTGCTGAGCCTCAGCTGACCAGTTGCAAACAATCCAGGCTGAAGTCTTGGTTTGGCACCTTAGCAATGATGCTAAGCCCTAGGAAATGGCTTGGGGGCCCAGTTTGGGACAGAGAGATATTCAAAATGGTGCCTCTCCGATGAACTGGATGCTGTTAGGACCTCCAGGACACCCCACCCTGCCTGGTTCTGGAGTGGGGTGGGCAGCACCTTGGCCACGCTCATGTGGGGCATGGACAAGACCACAGCTCCAGCCGAGTCCCAGGGGGACGGGGGATGCGGCGCCTCCTGGAGCTCTGCGTCTGAGTGCGGTGAATCCAGTGACCCACTGAGTGAGGCCCACCCGCTTGTCCATTTCAGCATCCAGGTGGTGACGAGCCCACCGATGCCGATGTGGAAGAGGCAGCCCTCAAGAGAAAGCTGGAGGAGCTGACCAGCCATGTCAGTGACCAAGGGGCCTCATCCGCGGAGGAAGAGGACACGGACTCAGGGGCTGGGATGGGCAGAAGCAAGCCTGCCGAGGGCCACTGCGGGGCCACATGGGAGGTGAGGTCCCCCCAGAAGTCTCCGCAGGAGACAGGGGGAGGCAGGGCCAGGGATCAGCAGTTTGTGACTAAGCCACCAGCCCGGCCACAACCCCTGGTGGGGAGGGCCCCAGGTGCCCGGCCGCCGCTGGAGTGCAGAGAGAAGCAGCGTCAGGATGGGACGTGCGTCAGTGAGAGCCCCGCGGCCTCTCCAGCTCGTGGTCACACTTGGGGCTTCCCTGTCCTAGGTATGCACGGCTGCAGGCCAAACTCCCAGCCGGGAAAAGGACCCACTGAGTCCTGGGGACCCCGAGCAGCCCAGCAGGACCACGGAGGCAGAGCTGGTGGATCTGGAGGGCCAAGTGGCCGCCACGGCCTGTGAGGTGCGGCGGACAGAGAGCCAGGTAGGCGGGTGGCCGCGCAATGCCCGCCCCGCTCGGGAGACGAGACTTGTTCGCTTCACAAGAAGGAATAAGTGAACCCGGAGTCCCCAGGCTGGCCTGCCGCCCAGAACGTGCGCAGCCTGGAGACATGCCACTCTCCTCGGGGACAGAAGGGCACCCCAGACAGATGGTGGGGGCCCTGAAAGCCTGGGAAGGGCCTGGAGAGCTCACATAGCACAGCCCACGCTGTCAGCTCCAGAGCAGGACTTTGGGGTTTCTGTGGGAACCACTCTCCTCACCCTTGGGAGGCGATGACCCTTCCAGTGACCATGGAAGATGGGTGAAAATGAGGTCCCCCAGGAAGTGCCCCTGGTCAGGACACCCATCTTAGGGGAAGTGTCATATTAGTCAATTCGATGAAGCCGGAGCAGCTGCTGTTTCTGGTCTGCGACATTGAGAAGGGACTTCCACGTGACGTCTGTCTGTCCTTCCTCCAGGTTTCGAATATCGAGTCCAGGATTGCAGCCTTGCGGGCAGCGGGGCTCACCGTGCAGCCCTCGGGAAAGCCCCAGAGGAAGTCTAACCTCCCAGTGAGTGGAGGGACATCGGGGCCCTGGGAGGTCGTGCCCGGAGCCCTGGGAGGGGGGCACGGGGTGGCCTGGGGCAGCGAGAGCCCCCACCAGCTGCCTCCCTCTTCCCTCCCCTGATGTCAGTGACCTGGATGGGATTCTTTTTCATCTGTTACTGCCGATTCTAACATAAAGAGCGCTTCAGGGGGAGGGAGGCCTGGACAGGGTTCATAGAGCTCCGCTTCACAGCGGGTGCGATCGAGGGGCAGGGTGGAGATCCGCCCACAACAGACACCTGAGAGTGGCATCCTCCTTCCCGATTCAAGTCAGGGATCCCCAGACAGACCACACTGAGGAAATCTGGCAGAAGAATGGCAGGTGCTCCCAGGAGAGCCCCAGGGGCAATTGCCAGGATGCCCCAGTTGAACCTGAACTTCAGATGCGCGACAAGTCATTTCCTCGTATAAGCACACCCTGTGCACTCTTTGGGGCATGCATACAGTACACTGTTCACTTGTGGTTGATCTGCAATTCAAAGCCAGCTGGGCATTCCATATTTTAATTTGCTGAACCCAGAGCCCTGGAGTGGCGTGTTCGGAGGACTGACAGGTCATCCCAGCCTTTCAGGCCGAGTAATAGAAAGAACTTACATCCTTAGTCCTGCTCACCTGCCTTGCGGCTGGAGGTCAGACAGGCTGTCATGACGCACAGACGCCTTCCTTGTTCTCCAGATCTTTCTCCCCCGGCTTGTCAGGAAATCTAGCCAGAGTCTGATGGATCCAAATGCAGGCCCTTTGAATGAGGCTGAGGTATGTGTTCGCTGCACCCAGGCTTGAGGGAGTGGGAGAGGGTAAACAACTGGCCTGACTTTTCTAGCAGCGGGACAAGCCAGTGGGCGGTGGAGCTGAAATATACAGACTTTAAGAAGCCTGGCGAGTCTCACAGGCTGCCTTCCCGCAGAGGCAAAGCTTGATGTAGGGTGTCTGTAGGAGGGGAAAAAAGCCAGGAAAACCCAGCAGGGGAGTGGGAGGGTGGGATGGGACAGAGGGCAGGGCTGGGGTAGGGGCTAGTGGGGAGGCGGGCAGAACCCCCGGCAGGGTAACCGGCTGAGGGTAATACAGAGCCCTGGAGACACCGCAGGTCACAGGGGAGTCATCCTGTGCCTGGACCACGTGCTGGACGTGTATCTCCTGCGTGCTCACCGGTCACAGGGGACACATATTCACAGGCACAGGGTCTGGGACAGCCCTGCTCTGGGAGCCGCGCGTCCAGGCTGTGGGAGGGAAGCACTGAGCCTCCATGCAGGAAGCAGCAAGAGGGTAGACGCTGGGGGAGTGGGGACACCCCTCAGCCTGCCCATCAGGAAGACACAGGGTGGGGGTGTGAGGGAGGGGGGCAGGCGCCAGTCCCAGGGCCCCATGGAGAGTGGCATCTGCCCCAGGTCCTGCCAGCTCCCGGAGATCTCAAGTAACCATCTAGTTGCTTCTGCTTCTCATGACAGCGGCACTGGGTCACTCTTCCCAGTAAAGATGGTATTTTTACCATCCCTTCCATCTGAGGTTTACAGCACCTGGTGAACTGGGGCAGACACCACCCCCGTTGCAGTGATGGAAGGAGACCACACAGACCACCAAGCTAGAGGGTCTCAGGCAGGCCCCCCGGCCCCGACCCCACCCTCTTCTCAGGGCTGTGACCTCCCTGACATGTCGCGGGACGCCCGGCCCTGGAGGCGTCCACGGCCAGCCTCCCGGTACAGCCACAGAGCAGCCGGGCTGAACCCCAGGGGCCGGGGTTGGCAGGACTTCCAGGGAAGTCAGGCTGTTTGCCTCTCGCATCCCCCTGAGGAGGCCAAACACAGAAGGAATTATCCCAGAGTAGAGAGCCAAGCAACTGGAGAGGGCGAGGGGAGGGAAGGAAGGTGTGGGCCAGCAGCCATGGGTGCTGGTTGTTGTTGTTCAGTCGCTGAGTTGAGTCCGACTCTTTGCGACCCCATGGACCGCAGCACAGCAGGCTTCTCGGTCCATCACTGTCTCCTGAAGCTTGCTCAAACTCATGTCCATTGAGTCGGTGATGCCATCCAACCATCTCATCCTCTGTCATCCCCTTCTCCTCCTGCTTTCAATCTTTCCCAGCATCAGGGTCTTTTCCAATGAGTCAGTTCTTCACATCAGGTGGCCAAAGTATTGGCGTTTCAGCTTCAGTATCAGTCCTTCCAATGAATATTCAGGGATAATTTCCTTTAGTATTGACGTGTCATCTTGCAGTCCAAGGGACTCTCAAGAGTCTTCTCCAACATCACAAACTCTTGAGAGTCCCTTCCCAAAACTGGCAGTTCTCCAAAAGGCAAGCATCTCTTTTATATTCTCTATATTTGGTAATTTATTGATAACATGCATTTTAGTACTGTTTAAAGGTCTAATATTGCCAAAGAACGGAAGACAGTTACCTTCATTTATCAGAATTTGCTTGAATGATGAGAAATTTGCATTTACCTCTTGGTGCCCCTAACAATTAGAGCGACATAGTGACACCCAGAGACGTGTCATTCTTCTAGGTGGAGGCCGTGCCCTGTCTCGTGAAGAGGAAGCTCAGCAATTACTCCAAAAGTCAAGGTAAGGGTCACTTGCTCCCCTCGTCACCCAGGCCTAAGAGAGCGTGAAAATGACCAGTCAGGGCTCGGGATTTCTACATGAGCCATGGGACACAACGTCTCATGCCCTGACACCCACAGGACACCCCAGTGTCCCCTGGCCACCTCCAGTGACTGTTGTAGTGAGTTGATGCCTGGATCCCTGGCATTTTCTGCTTTAAGCACATAAAGGTGGGGTGGTGGTGTCTGTGTCTTGTGATATAATTTGTACATATACAGTATGGCACTAGTGGTAAAAAATCAGCGTGCCGGTCAGGAGACACAAGAGACACAGGTTCGATCCCTGGGTTGGGAGGATCCCCTGGAGAAGGAAATGGCAACCCACTCCAGCATTCTTGCCTGGGAAATCCCATGGACAGAGGAGCCTGGCGGCTACAGTCCATGGGGTCATGAAGAGGCAGACACCGCTGAGCACGCACACGCATGCACGGTGCACAGCTCCAGACCTTCTCACACAGAGTGTGGGACACAGTTAGTTTCTTGATGTCTTGGACATCAAGGACAAGGACAGCATTCATCCTGGATGGTGCGTTTGTTTTCATGCTCCTTTTAAAATTTCTTAGGAGGCGAACACACTTGTTTGAGCTAAATGTGTGATTAATATAACAAGCCCCCTTCTGTTTTCCCCAAAGACAAAGATGTTGACTCCTTCAGTCGGAAGTCTGTGTACCGCGGATCCCTGACCCAGAGAAACCCCAACGGCAGGAACAGAGCCGCCAACCACAGCTTTGCGGTAAGTTTTCTCGGTTCACCGGGGCGGCTTCTGTGACCTGTTAGGCTGATACATGAAGTCTTCAAAGGAAAGAATTGGGATAACTCACAAGAAAAGTAAGATCAACGGAAGATCTAAAGGAAAATGGAAAACATTTCTAAAGGTACCCAAGTGTCAGGCCAATGGTGGGGGGTGTCGCCTCACCCTGGGGGTCTGGGCTTGGGATCGGGGATGGCCCACGAGGCAGTGGGGACTCCCCGCCCAGCCCCGCGCGCCTTACCTGTGCGGTAAAGGTCGTGCAGCTGAGCCACCTGTGCAGATGCCGGGGTCGGCGCTGTCCCCCAGCTTCCCTGGGAGGGACCTCGGTGCAGAGGGAGCCTGGGATTCCTCCCCAAGCCCAGGGACCAGAGTCACGCCCACAGCCCAGGGGTGGGCAGGAGTCCTCAGTGGCCACCATCAGGGTCCCAACACCCTGGATCCCCATCGCTGTCCACACCCACACCCCACCTGCCGGCTGCAACCACCCAGCAACAATTCTGACTTCATCCCGGTTATGTGAGTCTGAGCTGATGCCTTGGCTGTCCAAGAAGACAAAGTGACCGCTCTGTTATTTCCACGGACTCCATCTTTAAACAGATTTCAAGGGATTTCACAACACTCACTGCTGATGCCTGTAGCTGGGAGATGGGCAGGCAGGTGGGGCCCACGGGTCCGACACAGCCAGCGTCAGCCCACCCCAGACGAGGCTCCCCGCCCGGCCCCACGTGAGCCAGGCAAAGGCCGCCTGGGCCATGGCCAGAGCAGGGCCATTCCCTGCAGGAGACTGATAATGAAATCGCCAGTGGGGGCTTGAAAAGCTAAGTGCTTCCAAATGAGGACACACCTCCCTGTGTTTCAGCGCCTTCAGCTGTCAGATACTTTCCATCTTCACAGCCCGCTTGATGAGGGCCAGTGTCACGGACCCAAACTCATAGGTGGGGAGACTGAGGCAGAGAGAGGTTGAGTGAAAAACCAGCGGGCTCTGACCGATGCCCTCTGACCAGCAGGTCCATGGGTTTGTGTGTGCAGTTGTGTGCCCTCCTGTGTGCATGCGTGTGTGTCTGCATGCATGCCCGTGTGTTTCTATGTGCACACACTCACGTGTCTAAGTGCGTCTTTACTCGTGTGCACGCCTGTGTGTTTCCGTGTCCCTCTGTCCTCGCCTGTGAGTTTCTGTGCCTGTGTGTGCCTATGTGTACGGCTGTGTATCTCACACCCACTTGTGCATATGGTGTGTCCGTGTGTGTTTCTGCTCCACAGAAACCCGTGATGACCCACCAGCCTTAAGAGGAGAGGTTCACCAGGACGGGACACCCACCCTCTTCCCCTCCACCTCGGTCACTGAGTCCCGCCTCCTGCCCTGCGCTTTCCGCTGCACACAGCCCAGTGGAGGGAGAATAGACCCTAGCCCATGTTGGAAACCCACCCGCGAGCTGTCAGCAGTTCTCAGACCGTCAGCTCTTCGCTCAAGTTCATGGACAACCTCCAAGGCCACCTGGTCCGTGGCTGCTCTGATTCGTTAAGAGGCATCTAGGCTGTACGTCTTTCCCTTAGGGCACTGTGGTTTAAGCTTTCTGAAGAGGACAAAGATCTTTCTCAGTGTGATCCCATACCCCCTCCCTGCTGGCTTCCTGATGTTGCTTTCATGACCGGCATGGACAGGAGAGGACGCGGTGACCACCCCAGCCGTCTGTGTACTCCTGAGTGTGTCTGCCGGGTCGTGGGCAGAAGTGTGAGCACTCCTGGACATCGGGACAAGTGACTGGACTCTTGTCTCTCTGAATAAGAAGGAGGGATAGGCTGTCAGATCTCCTTATACACACACCCCGTCTTCGAGTTCACCCGTGCTTCACAGGCTGGGAGAGAGGACCCCGTGGTTGAGGACAGAGCGTGCGGGTAGCAGCAGGTGGGCGTCCGCTCACAGCCCGGGTATCGGGGCACACCACCTGCTGGGAGGCCCCGGTGGCACTCTGGATGGGTGGGCAGAAGGGTGGGCTCCAGCCCGACACTGCCACTCACTGCGGTGGGATCCAGTGGGGCAAAGGACCAGCTGGTGACGCCCGCCAGCCACTTGCCATCTGTCCGTAGACGAGCTCCAAGTCCTCCACCTCGGACAGTCTGGGAGTCAGGGTGCAGCCCAGCTTTAAGGGGAGCCCACTGGGACCCTCTGCAGCTGCCTTGGGCACAGTAACCACATCTCCCCCTCCCGGGCGTGGCTGGGGGCTCACGGGGACCTGTTTATTTGAACATCAGAGCAGCCCATTCTGCAGAGTGGAGCCCTGAGGGTGAAGCAGCCTCCCGCTGGGCCGGAAGCCACCTCGTGACCCGGGCCGGAAGCCACCTCGTGACCCTCTAATGCCTTCCGAGGCGACTTCAGGTCCGCTCTCACTTCCCTCGCGCGGCGGCTTGGTGCTTGTGTTCAGTGGTAACTGAAAGGAGACGGTGAACCTGTGATGCCCAAGAGCCTTGCCTACTAAGATGTTCTTCCGACCTGTCTCCCCACGGCTTACAGATTCTGCACCATGAGCTCTGATCCCATCCCCACTGACCCCACAGTGTCTCAGTCCCCACAGGGGCCACGTTGCCCACAAGCTGGTCCACGGCAGCTCCAGGGCAATTTTCAGAATCGGCGTCTGCATTGATCCAGATGACCTAGGCTTTGGCAGTGTGCTGGGGTTTGTGGTAAAGATGGAGCTGATCCTCCTTCTCCAAATGAAAGCTGCTTCACATAGGCAGCTCCTAAATTCAGTGCTGGAAATGATTCAAGATGCCTATACATGGAGGAGGATCGGTTCTTTGTGATGTGCAGTTCTCCTTATTCACAAAGAAAACGGGGGGTCGACATGAGCTCCTAGCCTTCGGGGGGAGGCAGTCCTGGCTGGCCTGGAGCCCTGCCCTGGAGGTGAGGGTAACAGGCCCACCAAGGACCAGAGTGGCCACTTCGCCCCATGGCTAACTTGAGTGCAGAGACCTTCTGACCTGGAAACACACTGGTGCCTCTTTCCAAAGGCCCCTCTCAGGGGTCTCCGATTAGGTCCACAGCTGTACTCACTCATTCATTCATTCACCTGACGCTGTGCACGGCCCAAGGATCTGTGTTCATCCGTGGCCCTGGCCAGGCCATCGGGGATGTGAGTTCTCCCGGTCCCGTGCTGGCTCCTCGGCCCTTCCTGCCTCCTCTCCTTCCCTGTCAGGACCATGGCTTTAGGGGCCTGTGGCTGGTCTGCCGCCCAGACGCCCCAAGGTTCGCTGCACAGACCAGCCACCCCTTCCTCCGGCATCTCAACATCAGCCTGTCCTGCTGACCCCAGATCTCACTCACATGCCCATTCAGGTCACCTCCATCCTCCGCGGGGGCTCTGGGCAAGGCTCTGCCCTCTCTTCAACCTCACGCTCTGTCGGGAAAGCTGGCCTCTGCCTTCTGCGTACACCTCCGCCCTCTGCCCTCCCACTTCGTCAGCAACCGTGTCACTGATTCGGGATTTTTCTTTCAGGTTTATTTTTGATGTGGACCACTTTTAAAGTCTTTATTGGATTTGTTACACTAGCTTCTGTTTTATGTTTTGGTTTGTTGTGTCCACGAGACATGTGGGATGTTAGTTCCCCGACCAGGAATCAAACCTGCTCCCCCTGCATTGGAAGGTGAAGCCTTAACCCTGGGCCCAGGGACATCCCTGGGGTGTGTTTCTATGCCAAAGGCGTGTGCTCTGCTGACTCCAGGGCGGCAGCTCTGGTTTCACAGGCCTCCTAGCCCTCTGCCTTCAGTGCCGCCCTGGGCTTGTTTTATACCCGGATGTGTTGCATGGGTGCTGTGCTTTCATTTCCAGCGTGACCTGTGGTCCAGCGTGTGATTGTCCTCTCGAGAGCATCCTTGTGACTTGTGGACCCGGTTTCCCGGGACCACTGGCTGCTGGCTGCCACACTTGGGGCAGCCTGGGGCGTCAGGAAGGTCACCAGAACCCCACTGCACCTTGCCTTTCCAGCCCCGGGCAGCCTTGAGAGGAGGCAGCCCCCTGGCCTGGGCTCCACAGTCCTGTCAGTTTGGAGGGATGATGTCCAAGGCGGATCAGCCCTTCCCTTTTCTCCAGAGCCCCTCTGCTCCTGTTCTGTCCTGAGGCTGTCCACTGCAGCGGTCTGGGTCAGGTCAGCAGGTCTGGCCACATCCCTATGTTTCTTGTGTCTGTGGTTGTTTCTCCGCTACAAAATCAGAGCTGAATACGTATGGGAAATCTGTGCTGACCCCTGGTCCAGGCCTGTGGCATTGACCTGGGCAGCAGGGGCTGGCAAGTGTCATCTCAGGCAACGCCAAGTAGGGAGGAAGGACCAGACCGTGTTTACCTCCTGCATCTTCACCCCAGCCTCCCCGCACCCCAGGTACTGCCACCATCACCCAAACCACCCATCCCAGGTGGCTGTCTGCCTCCCACCCCCCGAGGCTCTTCTCAAAGTCTGGCCTTGCTTGTTTTCTTGTTTTGTAATGACTGCAAGTTTTGTTTGGTGAAGGAGCCAGAATCGAGGAATAAGTGATGAGTTAGTCGCTCAGTTGTGTCTGACTCTTTGCGACCCCATGGGCTGTAGCCCGCCAGGCTCCTCTGTCCTTGGAATTCTCCAGGCAAGTACTGGAGTGGGTTGCCATTTCCTTCTCCAGGGGACCCCCCCAACCCATTGGCAGGCAGACTCTTTACTATCTGAGCCACCAGGAAAGCCCAAAGGAGCCAGAATGAGGGGAGGAGGAAGGAGCCAGCATTTCCCATTCACTCACCATCTCAGCAAAACACCGAATACATTGTGTCTTGGAAAGCACACCCCACACAGCCTGACCTCAATGGGCCCCCAGCGGCTCAAACAGATGACTACAAACTGGGCAGCTTAGAATGGCAGAAGTGTATCCTCTGGCAGAGGCCGAAGTCCAGAATCGAGGGGCGTGCAGGGCCATGCTCCCCGCAGAGGCTCCGGGAGACTCTCCGCGGCCTCTGCCCGGCTCTGGAGACTCCTGCTGTCCCCCACCGGTGGCCTCCTCCCTCTAGTCTTGGACTCCACCACCACGCAGGCCCTTTCCCTGTGTCTCCTGTCTGTCTGTCCCAAACCTCCGTCTGCCCGTCTCTTACAAGGATCCTCATCGTTAGATTTAAGGCCCATCTGGATTCTCCAGGACAGTCCCCTCATCTCAAGATCTTTACCCAAATCACACAAGCAAAGACCCTGTTCTGAAAAAGGTCATGTGTGCACTTCCCTGGTGGTCTAGTGGTTAAGACTCCATGCTTCCAATACAGGGAGCACAGTTTCGATCTCTGGTCGGTGAGCTAAGATCCCAAGTGCCACGTGACCACTCCCCCTCCAGAAACAAAGCATCTTGCAGGCATTCCCTGGGGCTCATGGGTCCCGGCAAGAGCAGCAGAGAATCTCACCTGGGTGTGCCCCACCAGCTGCCCTGACACCTGCAGCTCCCCAAGGGCCCCTGAGTCACGCTGGGTCCTCTTATGACTGCCCCCAGAGACCACGGGGTGGGGGACTTCATTCCGCTCTGTCAGCAGGGCCGCGCTGTCTGCTCTGGGATGAGATGGGAGAGGCTGCAGCGGTGCCACGGCCTGCTGGCGGACCCCTGAGTAAAGTAGTCAGTAGACAGTCTACACCAGGAATAGGAAAGGGCTCTATCTGAGCCAGACTGAGGGCTACAGCCCTCAGAGACATGGCCTCTCAGATCGCTCAGAATCCACTCCAGAGAAGCAGGCTTTCAGCAACTTTGTGTCTCACCAGAACAAAAAAGCATTAAAGTCAGGGATACATCCCTTCAAGTTTTCAGAAACAGAACAGATCAGCGTGCTCACAGTGAGTCAGCACAGCCTTGACACCTGGGAGGGGAGTCTTATCACCAAAGGAGGACCAGCCTTGAGGCCCCAGGACGGGAGGCGTCTCATCTTTATTTTGAACATGGGCATTCTTAGTTGGGCGGCCTCCCAGGCGACTCAGTGGTAAAGAACCCCCCCAACCCCTCGACAATGCAGGAGGCACAGAGTCTCGGGTTCGATCCCTGGGTAGGGAATATTCCCTGGAGGAGGAAATGGCAATCCACCCTGGTATTCTTATCTGGAGAATGCCATGCACAGAGGAGCCTGGCGGGCTACAGTCCATGGGGTCGCAACAGCTGGGCATGGCTGAGCGTGAACAGTGACATTCTTTACTTGTGGTCAATGAGCCTTTTCCTTTTTGAGTTTGAGCAGGTGCACAGTCTATGTCTGATGGGCCATAAACAGGCTGTTCTAGTTGGTATCAAAGTCAAGGTAGCTCCCATATAAGTGGGCCTTCCCTGATGGCTCAGCTGGTAAAGAATCCACCTGAAATGCAGGAAATCCCAGTTCCGGGTTCCATCCCTGGGTCAGAAAGATCTCCTGGAGAAGGGAACAGCTACCCACTCCAGTATCCTGGCCTGGAGAATTCCACAGACTGTATAGTCCACAGGATCGCAAAGAGTCGGACACGACTGAGCAACCTTCCCTTTCCCCTATAAGCCAGCATGACTTTCCCAGGCCTCAGTATGTGGACATTTCTTTCATCAGCACCAACCCTGCACCGTGGCGAAGGTGCTTGGCTGAAAGGAGAGGGTTCACTGCCCCACACACTCACGCACACATACACACAAGCACATGTTCCCCCAGTGGTCTGCCCAGGAAGCTGCCTCCAGCTGCCCTGGTCTCATGGGGTCCGCTCCCCTGAGGGCCTGGTGCCAGGCAGTCCTGCAGGGAGAGAAGAGGCCCCCTCCAGACGGGGGCTGGCCCCAGCAGTGCTTCCAGCAGCACTCCTCAGCAGAGCCACTCTGGCCCCCACTCACCCCACGCTCCCCAGGGATCTGGGGACTCCATCCCAGGGGCCTCAGCTTGCAGCCAGGGTGTGGGCCGGGCCCCTCCTATGCCCCTCACACTCCGTAGACACACCCCTCACCAGCACCTGTCCCCCCGACCTACACTCCAGACTCCCAGGGAGCCCACCCACCCCCCATAAAACCTTCATCACCAGGAATGCGCACCAATGGGAGGAAGGAGAAGCACGCCTGACCCTCTGAGGGTCCGGAGCTGCTCTGGAACTTTCCTCAAAATCCGATGGAGGCTGGGGAAGGGCCACGGAGCCCCTGCACACGTCCCAGGGGAGCAGCCGGGAGGGTTCTCCCCAGCATGGGCTCCTGGAGATGATGCTCAGGGGCGTGTAAATGACCTCTGCTATGTTGTTCAGTCGCTCAGTCGTGTCCGACTCTGCAACCCCATGAACCACAGCACGCCAGGCCTCCCTGTTCGTCACCAACTCCCGGAGTTTACTCAGACTCACGTCCATCAAGTTGGTGATGCCACCCAACTGTCTCATCCTCTGTCATCCCCTTCTCCTCCCGCCTTCAATCTTTCCCAGCATAAGGGTCTTTTCCAATGGGTCAGCTCTTTGCATCAGGAGGTCAAAGGACTGGAGCTTCAGCTTCAGCATCAGTCCTTCCAATGAATATTCAGGGTTGATTTCCTTTGGGATCCTTTAAGAGTGGTCTCCTATCATTATTCAGAATATGAGGCCCAAGTGAAATGGAAAACAATGTGTAGTTATTTAAAATAGCGTAAGTGTACAGATTTTTTCACAACTTGAGGATATGATGGTTAAATGGAAATAATGAGATTCAAAAACGCATGAATCCGATGAACCTACCCAGAATATAGGTGAAAAGGCTATGAAAAGGAAGTACATCACATGGGATAAATGATTGACTTCTCTGATACATGGGTGTTCTTTTATTCTTATTTTTCTGTATGTGCTAAATTCTATCCAAGTGTATGTAAATTGCTTTTATAATAAAAATAAGCCTCTTCATTATTTATTTCATAATAGAAATACAAGTGTTTGTTTTATAATCATAGCTTCCCAGGTGGTGCTAGTGGTAAAGAACCCTCTTGCCAATGCAGGAGATGTAAGAGACACGGGTTCAATCCCTGGGTCAAGAAGATTCCCCTAGAAAAGGGCACAGCAACCGCCTCCAGTATTTTTGCCTACAGAATCTCATGGACAGATAAGCCTGGCGGGCTACGGTCCATAGGATTGCAAAGAGTCAGATACAACTGAAGCAGCTTAGCTTATGTTATTTATTTTATAAGAAATGTACACATTTGTTTTATAATCATAATGTGTGTGTGTGTGTGTGTGTGTGTGTGTGTGTGCGTTCATTGCTCAGTCGTGTCTCATTCTTTGCGATCCTATGGACCGTAGCCCACCAGGCTCCTCTGCCCTTGGGATTTTCCAGGCAAGAATACTGGAGTGGGTTGCCATTCCCTTCACCAGATAATAATCATAATAAACTTCTTTAAAGTGTAATTATGACGACTCTGGAAAGAGCTGGAATAAACATAGTTTTTCAGTGGTAGAAACAGGACGAAAGTGGTCTGTATGTAATAAATGCAGCTGTAAAAGGCCCATGGGTGACAGACCGGCCAGGGAAGGATTAGCAGGATTAGAAGGATTCAGCTGTGACGGCCTCCTCGGTGACTCTGCCCGGGAAGCGGGTATTAAAGGAGGAGG